TATAAACGGATTTGGATTAGCGTATTGTCAAGTGATATGATTTGACCACGAGTTCATTCATTCTCAGTGCAGATAGGATTTTACTGCACAAGGTTCATTCTAGAAATTTTCAGATTTAGGATTTTTCACTCTAATCTCCAAAATATGAGAACCATGTTATGCTGATTCGGTAGTCAAATGAAAGTTCGTGTCGCGGAAGTGTAATTTTCTCAGGAGAAAGGATGGGATCTTTTTTTACAGTTCTTTTAAGTTCGTTGCAATCAAATGAAAGTTCGAGTTTAATCAATGAGAGTGCAATTTCATAACACTGAATAAAAAATATCGTTCGGTATCGCTTATGTTTACTTTTGAGGAAAGATCACCAGAACTGAAGCTCTTGCTGTATAAGGTCGAACGTTGAATACTCTAGCATAATTTTGGAATGATCACTAAAAGGCACAGCTGGAATCAGTAAATTCGTTGTTCAATTTTGTATTGTTTGTGGTTTTCTAAAACACTCCCTTCGAGTCTTCAAGAAATATGAATGTATTTCTATCTTGGTACCAAACATTTTGAACTGTCGGTTAATAATCGTCTTGCTTTCCTATAAATGTATTTTTCATGTTTCTGTATAGAGCTTTTCCAGTACGTGTACAATTTCCAACAAACTTTCCGTAGCATTTGAAAAAAAAAAAAATTTTGCAATTTTTTCTAATTTTGGTCTAATTTATCAACAGCAATATGCGACATTTTGTTTTCGTTATGTGGGAAATAATTTTTTAAGAAAAAAATTTATAAACAGGATTGTGTCCTTTCCTTTTTCCAAAACAAACATTTCGAATTATGTTATTTAGTGGAAATCAATGAAATTTAATGTAACTAATTATCCTTCAAAATTACAGTTGTTACGATAATTGTTTAAGATTACGCGAACCTTTCAGTGTCAAAATTTCCAGTCCAAAAGTATAGTTACTGTTAGATTTGTAAACCTTCATAGATTAATCAACACTGTGGCTTTGCGGTGTAGCGCTCACCCTTTGGCGTTGACGGCCATATCCCCGCCATCAATTTCTTGAAGTTATTTGTTAGTATCTTCCTTCACTGATGCACTTCATTTACTTTTTGGATGAAAATTTCTTTTAAATTCTAGAAGCCCAGTAATGCATTTCTGTAAAGTAAAGAGATTCATCACTGGGCTTCTAAAATTTAACAGAAATTTGCCCCTTTGAAATAAAAAAAAAAAAAGAAGTGGATTGATGGGGCCTTGAGCCCCTAGTGATGGAAGTTGTTAAGAAACAACTTAAAGAGATCGACGGCGGGGATATGGCCGTCGACGCCAAAGGGCGCACGTTATACCGCGAGGCCACAGTGACGTTGAGTAAGATCTAGGCCAAATTTTAGTTGATATAGGTTTGGATATATTGTTTAGTGTAAAATACTTATTAAAATTCAGCATAAATAATACACTAGGGTGCAAAAACGCGTGCACACAAGAATCAGCATAGATAGAACAATATGATTTTCACAAACAGTAAATTATTTGTCAAAACTATTTTTAGATTCTTACGAGTTGTGTTGATTGTCACAGAAATAAAACTATTCTTTAATGACAAAAATAAAATAAACAAAAAACCTTTGACTACGACGATGGTCGTAGTTGTTTCTTCGTTTGTCGATTTCTTATAAATTACTACTTTCTTAAAATTCGACACTCCTGTTCTTACTACTGTTTAACTTCTTTTCTTACTAATGTTAAACTTAGACAAAATTCGACTCTTCTTTTTCTTACTAATGTTAGACTTAGACAAAATTCGACTCTTCTTTTCTGACTTCAGTTAGACTTTCTTCAAATTCGACTCTTCTTTTTCTTACTAATGTTAGACTTAGACAAAATTCGACTCTTCTTTTCTTACTGTTAGACTTTCTTCAAATTCGACTCTTCTTTTTCTTACTAATGTTAGACTTTCTTCAAATTCGACTCTTCTTTTTCTTGCTAATGATAGACTTTCTTCAAATTCGACTCTACTTTTTCTGACTAATGTTAGACTTTCTTCAAATTCGACTCTTCTTTTTCTTGCTAATGTTAGACTTTCTTCAAATTCGACTCTTCTTTTTCTTGCTAATGTTAGACTTTCTTCAAATTCGACTCTTCTTTTTCTTGCTAATGTTAGACTTTCTTCAAATTCGACTCTTCTTTTTCTTACTAATGTTAGACTTTCTTCAAATTCGACTCTTCTTTTTCTTACTAATGTTAGACTTTCTTCAAATTCGACTCTTCTTTTCTGACTTCAGTTAGACTTTCTTCAAATTCGACTCTACTTTTCTGACTGTTAGACTTTCTTCAAATTCGACTCTTCTTTTTCTTACTAATGTTAGACTTTCTTCAAATTCGACTCTTCTTTTTCTTACTAATGTTAGACTTTCTTCAAATTCGACTCTTCTTTTCTGACTAACGTTAGACTTTCTTCAAATTCGACTCTTCTTTTCTGACTAATGTTAGACTTTCTTCAAATTCGACTCTTCTTTTTCTTGCTAATGATAGACTTTCTTCAAATTCGACTCTTCTTTTTCTTACTAATGTTAGACTTAGACAAAATTCGACTCTTCTTTTCTTACTAATGTTAGACTTTCTTCAAATTCGACTCTTCTTTTCTTACTAATGTTAGACTTAGACAAAATTCGACTCTTCTTTTTCTTACTAATGTTAGACTTTCTTCAAATTCGACTCTTCTTTTTCTTACTAATGTTAGACTTAGACAAAATTCGACTCTTCTTTTTCTTGCTAATGATAGACTTTCTTCAAATTCGACTCTTCTTTTTCTGACTAATGTTAGACTTTCTTCAAATTCGACTCTTCTTTTTCTTGCTAATGATAGACTTTCTTCAAATTCGACTCTTCTTTTTCTTACTAATGTTAGACTTAGACAAAATTCGACTCTTCTTTTCTTACTGTTAGACTTTCTTCAAATTCGACTCTTCTTTTCTGACTAATGTTAGACTTAGACAAAATTCGACTCTTCTTTTTCTTACTAATGTTAGACTTTCTTCAAATTCGACTCTTCTTTTTCTTACTAATGTTAGACTTAGACAAAATTCGACTCTTCTTTTTCTTGCTAATGATAGACTTTCTTCAAATTCGACTTTTCTTTTTTTACTAATGTTAGACTTAGACAAAATTCGACTCTTCTTTTCTGACTAACGTTAGACTTTCTTCAAATTCGACTCTTCTTTTTCTTGCTAATGATAGACTTTCTTCAAATTCGACTCTTCTTTTCTGACTAACGTTAGACTTTCTTCAAATTCTACTCTTCTTTTTCTTACTAATGTTAGACTTAGACAAAATTCGACTCTTCTTTTTCTTGCTAATGATAGACTTTCTTCAAATTCGACTCTTCTTTTCTGACTAACGTTAGACTTTCTTCAAATTCGACTCTTCTTTTTCTTACTAATGTTAGACTTAGACAAAATTCGACTCTTCTTTTTCTTGCTAATGATAGACTTTCTTCAAATTCGACTCTTCTTTTCTGACTAACGTTAGACTTTCTTCAAATTCGACTCTTCTTTTTCTTACTAATGTTAGACTTAGACAAAATTCGACTCTTCTTTTTCTTGCTAATGATAGACTTTCTTCAAATTCGACTCTTCTTTTCTGACTAACGTTAGACTTTCTTCAAATTCGACTCTTCTTTTTCTTGCTAATGATAGACTTTCTTCAAATTCGACTCTTCTTTTTCTTACTAATGTTAGACTTAGACAAAATTCGACTCTTCTTTTCTGACTAACGTTAGACTTTCTTCAAATTCGACTCTTCTTTTTCTTACTAATGTTAGACTTAGACAAAATTCGACTCTTCTTTTCTGACTAACGTTAGACTTTCTTCAAATTCGACTCTTCTTTTTCTTACTAATGTTAGACTTAGACAAAATTCGACTCTTCTTTTCTGACTAACGTTAGACTTTCTTCAAATTCGACTCTTTTTCTTGCTAATGATAGACTTTCTTCAAATTCGACTCTTCTTTTCTGACTAACGTTAGACTTTCTTCAAATTCGACTCTTCTTTTTCTTACTAATGTTAGACTTTCTTCAAATTCGACTCTTCTTTTTCTTGCTAATGATAGACTTTCTTCAAATTCGACTCTTCTTTTCTGACTAACGTTAGACTTTCTTCAAATTCGACTCTTCTTTTTCTTACTAATGTTAGACTTAGACAAAATTCGACTCTTCTTTTTCTTGCTAATGATAGACTTTCTGACTAACGTTAGACTTTCTTCAAATTCGACTCTTCTTTTTCTTACTAATGTTAGACTTTCTTCAAATTCGACTCTTCTTTTTCTTACTAATGTTAGACTTAGACAAAATTCGACTCTTCTTTTTCTTGCTAATGATAGACTTTCTTCAAATTCGACTCTTCTTTTCTGACTAACGTTAGACTTTCTTCAAATTCGACTCTTCTTTTTCTTACTAATGTTAGACTTTCTTCAAATTCGACTCTTCTTTTTCTTACTAATGTTAGACTTAGACAAAATTCGACTCTTCTTTTTCTTGCTAATGATAGACTTTCTTCAAATTCGACTCTTCTTTTTCTTACTAATGTTAGACTTTCTTCAAATTCGACTCTTCTTTTTCTTACTAATGCTAGACTTTCTTCAAATTCGACTCTTCTTTTTCTTACTAATGATAGACTTAGACAAAATTCGACTCTTCTTTTTCTTACTAATGATAGACTTTCTTCAAATTCGACTCTTCTTTTTCTTGCTAATGATAGACTTAGACAAAATTCGACTCTTCTTTTTCTTGCTAATGTTAGACTTAGACAAAATTCGACTCTTCTTTTTCTTACTAATGTTAGACTTAGACAAAATTCGACTCTTCTTTTTCTTGCTAGTGATAGACTTAGACAAAATTCGAACATCTTTTTCTTACTTCAGTTAGACTTTCTTCAAATTCGACACTACTTCTCTTACTAATGACTATTCAAAACTCGACTCTTCTCACTTCAGTTAGACTTAGACAAAATTCGAATTTTTAATTGGTTTTGTTACACATGTTTTCCTCAAAACTGATACAACGGGTACAAAAAAGTTTTTTAATGTTCATATCTTCTGAAGTTCTCCTTGTCCGTCTATCACAGCTATCTGAAAACAATAAGAATTCCAAATGAATAAACAAATGGTGCAAATCTTAGGTGGGAAAAAAAACTAATGCCTATTGTTTTCATTAACAATAGAAGCGAACCTATTTCTTGGTCAATTTTGCCGTCCTCTATTACCAAAAGCCAAGGTGGTCTAGTGGTAGTGCACTTCGTTAAATTAAATGACGGCCGTATCCCCAGCCGTCATTTAATTTAAATTGCAACTCCAGGGGCCTTGAGCCCCGTTCGATCGTTCTCCTTTTAATCTTTTTTTTTCCTTAGTTTTAAACAACTAAACATTTTTTTAATTTTAAGAGTCCGAGAACATTTTTCTTCCGAGGAAAAATTTTTCCTTTAAAAAAAGTTCTCACAGCTCTTAAAATTAAACAAGTTTGACTCTTTAAAATTTACATACAAAACCAAACAAAAAAGTCAAAAGCTCATCAAAGTTTCAAACTTAAATCAAACGATTGCCGTCGTAGGACGAAAAAAAAAAACACATCACCAAAGTAGTGGAAAATTAACAAACGTGAAATGTACATGAGGAAAAGCATTCACTGCACTTCAGGGAAACTGAAAACGACAGGACTTTTGCATTTATACCAAAAAAATGGATGCAAAAAAAAACCAAATTTGCTCTTACTCCAACTTGCTCTTCAAAATACAAAACACACTAAACCGTTCCAAAATGTTTGTTGTACAAATTCTTAATCATAGAATGTGAATTAATAATAAAGTAACAAGCACATCATTTTAAACATGGAAGGTATTATGAATAACACCTTCAACTGAGCGTTCAATGTACCTCTTAATTCAGTGTGATTTATTTTCAGATTTCATTACCTTACACACTACATGCATGTCCTACTGCAACTTGTAAACCAGAAAGCAAAACTTTGGACTTTTAAATGCCTCCACCAAATATTACAGGTTTACTTAGAGAAAGAAAAAACAGTTGAAAAACTACTTTGGGCAGAATCAGCCTTGTCAAATAGAATATAACCTTAAGTGAACCTAATGGTGTTTAAAAAAAAACACATTTTTGCTTGGATAGTTCAAGACAGAACTTAAACTGAATAAATCATACTGTTCCAAAAATGTATTCACCTAAACAGTCAATTATGAGACAGTAATCAAACATTTCCATTCAGAGCCTTAAATTCTAACATGGCATCAAGTAAAGTTTAGGGTAAAACAAATATCCTTGAAAAAAGATTTTATTGAGGGAATTTGCGAAAATTGAAATTGGAAATGGTGAGATCATAAAAAATATGAAAATAAATTCTATTCAGTCACCAAGAACATCCTATTACAAAGAATCAGCTAAAGCTAGAAGATGGAAAAAACAGCTGAGGATTTACGCTCAACTCAAAAGTAAACAAAAAATTACCCTAGGCTTGATAAACTGTTTTATATGTGAGCATGAGAAACACAAGTGATAGCTATGCATGTAGGTGGTAATTCTCTTAGTGAGTCACTCTGCTTCTTTATATCCCTACATTCAAGCTGAATCACACAACACCTGAACTGCCAGAGGTCAAGATGTTGCTATTGGGTTTTAAACTTCTCTGGCCAATCATGATTTGTCTTTGTCTTACACTCAAGAAAAATGTTAACAATCACTTTGCAATTTTTGCTGACCAAAATGCACATTCCTTCAAACATGGCAACTTTTAAATACAGCTTAAGGAATGATCAGCTTCTAGAATTTCCTTAACCCATTTTGTGTAAGTTTCTGTAGCAGTTCAAACTTGTTTATGATAGTTTCTATATGTGTGAAACAGAACTATTTTTTTATTAGTCTTTTTTTTAAAATTATTGTTGTAATTAGGCTGGAAAATTCTCACTGGGGAGTCCTAATAAAGACATTGTGTTGGAAATATACAAAATTACTGTTTACATCTAAAACCATACACTTTAAAAGTATGTGGGCCTGGTACATGACAACCTCATCAGTGGGTTAAACTCTTCTTTGCTCAGCTGGTAGAGCATCTGACCTTGAAATTACATATGAACATTTAGGTTTTAATATCCTTCAAAAATCAGCACTTTTTCCATCTTCTATGCCATGAGAAAAGTTTCATAACAAAGGATGCTTTAGACAATGTCAGTCTAAGCATTGTGTGTAACAAATGTCTCATTTGAAAAGAGTAAAATGATAGAGCGTCCAACGATCAAATCCAAATGTGTGAGGTTCAAATCTTCTCAGAAAACTCAATAATTTTTCTACATCTCATAAAACTTGCAATGTTTCAGGTCTCCCTGTATCAAAATAAAACTATTTTTAAGACTGAATTAAAACATTTTTCTAGCACAGGCAAGTATGACAAAAAAGTCAAACAAGCAAAAAAATTAAACCAGCAAACAAACAGTCGAAATTCAAACATGAACATTGCAAAGAATTTAAAGAAGAAAGCATCAAGTTTAAATCATGTAAAACTACAGCAAAACCATCAAATTCATTTTTTTCTCCAGAGGAGTTATTCCAATGAAGATAGAAATCCTACTTGATAATCTGCATTTTTTTCTCTTCTATTGTCAATATTAGTTTTGTGTATTAGCCACAGTTTCCAAAGTTAATATGCAGAAATGATTATGATGAGATTTGATTTGATTTGGCTCAAACTTAAAGGTAAGAAAATTTGTGCCTGTAAGTTAGAGATGACTAGATGATGATTAGACTCAAGGACAAGTGAAAATTCTGGTCAAGCTTCATGTTTTTATCCCGAGATATTGAGCAGGCAGGATTTGCTGAGACAAGATAATTGTTTGGAGTAACTTCATGGTCTTCTAAACTTGGTCTTCTAATCAGCTGAGTTCAAGTTTCACTGTATGCATGCAGACTTTGGATGCCTGTCTTTTCTTGGTACATTTGTTTTCAAAAAAATGAAAAAGGAAACTTTTTAATTTGGTAAATGGTTTTTCTCTAATTGAGACCACACACATGTACCCTACAAATGCAATTTCATTTAAAAAACCATGGCTTATGACTTAGCAAGTCCATGGTGTGACGCTGGAGAAGAGACCAGGTGGGTATTTTTTTCTGGCCAGCTTCAGATGTCTCCTAAACATGCAAAATGGGCCACTTGACGACAAAGTATCCCGAACTAGACAAGCAAGTGATGAAGTGGTTTTCACAGCAGAGAGGCCAAATATTTCATTTGTGATGTGAAATGAGGAGGGTTTTGCCAAATTGAGTGAGATTGTCTTTCAATGAGTGGGAAGCAAAAAATCTGATTAGTGGTCAGAAATATGTTGTTGTCATGACAATTTTAAAACGTGCCATGTAAAGAGCGCTGCAGCCGTGGAATTTACGGTCATTTCACATTAACATTAAATTTGCACTTGTTTTTGAATCCCAAATCCTTAGCTACAAGCTGAACCCCGTTTCTTGTGAAAAAATCTCCCAAACCTTTGTGTCAAATACTGAAAGAATCACTTGGCTTATAGTTGAAGAAATACGGTATGTATGTTGAAATTCAAGCCACCATCTGTGCAGACTTTCAAAGCTTTTTCTGTGTTTTGTTCATTTCTGTTTTGTTTTGTTTTGTTTTGTTTTGTTTTAACTCTTGTCATAATGATTGTGGAGCTACAATTTTCCAAATGAGGATGAGAGAATGTCTCTATCATCACCATCCTGATTTTCTGAAATTTGTGAAATCTTTAACAGAAATCAACACTTCTTTGGTGATGAAATGTGACCATCAGAGATTAGAAGATTTTTCTAAGGATTCCCCTTTTATTAGCTGGATATGAGGCCAAATTTTATCGAAATACAATTCTGTAGCAAGCTCCCCTTAAAGGATTCCTTTCATTGGTGTTATTAGTAGAAAATGTGAACTCATTTTAGGTTAGAATGAACCAAGCCAAGTTTCAATAAAGGTTCTTCCTAACTGTCTTCACATTTTGTCACAGTGAGTTCCAAATGACTTATTAATATATATTATAAGAGTTACTTGTCATGATTCAATCACATTTCTTTTGGAACATTGATTGCTTCTTCCCAATAAAAGATAATAACTTTCAAGAATTGATTATTTCATGCTGCTACTAGATCTAAGAAATGTTTTGAATTCATGTTAGTAGTAGCCATGTTTTTATAAATTACTTGACAACTTAACATTGTACAGACCTTAGATTGAAATTTACTATGAACTCAATTTTGGGCTAGCTCCTCAGAGCTCCTGGTTTCTAATCCTAGGCAAAGCTCAACTGAAGGACAAGCTGGTTTGCTTTCATTTCAACTTCAACCTGTTTGAGCCCTTAATTTAGCAATTGTCAGTACATGTCAAGTCTCAGAAACTTCTAGTCTTGAATAAGGACACAGCACAATCGTTTTCCCTTAATCATTAACAGAGTGTCACTGATACAAATTACAAGTATTTGCACTTCTTTTTAAAAGATTTTCTGCTCTTATGGGAGGCTGCTCACACTTTTCATCTCAGAATCTATAGAGTGCAGTAGATGTAGTACCTAAAGGTCTCTACAGTTGAGGGTTAGGAAATAAGAATTCTTCCAAAAAGAATCTGCATTCTTGTTTCAAACTGAATGTTCATTATGCTTTTCTATACTGACACTCATGATGGCTTACACAAAATCAACTTTATTGAAGCAATATCAGTGTCTTTCAATTTTTTTTTAATTCTACAAAATCAATTTTAAAATATGCTTTTAATAATCATTAACCTGCATGTATTTCCAATATTTTTCAGAATTTTTTTTTGGAAAATATAGTTATACTAATGATGCTTGGGTTGACATTTATACCTTCATTGTAAAATATGGATGAACTTACAGGGTGAAAGTCTACTATGATCCTTACAAACAAATGTACTTAGGTCTGATTGTCATTTCTTGCTGAAGTTAGGCTAATTTGCTAATAGTAGGAGTAGTTGATTTTCTTTTCTTTCTTTTTTTTTCGATAATATGTTTTGCATAAGAATTTGGCCGATATCATAGAATCATGAACTATAGCACATGCTTCAAATTGAAAATTTTCCCTTCCTAAAGAAAGCATTTGAGCTTAAAACAATTTCAAGAATTATTCATCTGACATAAATGCAAAGGTCTCTCTCGATAAAATTTTAAATTTGGGGAAAGCTGGAATTTTTGTTGTCCCCTACAGCTGTAGCTTTGTATTAAAAAACATTAATTGAGAAACTCTTCTTTTCTCCAACCAAGATTCAACTCTAATATATAGATTTAGCCAAGCCTAAAAGCAGAGCTCACATTTTTATTTCCTGCACTATTAAAAAAAGGAGAAAAAAACTTTGTACTCACAATTTCTCAACTGAAATGATGATAATCCTTGTTGATGCTTGGTTGAGTTTTGCAGTTCCCTTCCACCAGTCTTCTTTTGCTTGAAGAAAAATACACTATATACCAAGCTTATCACCTGTTTGGATAAAAACATGTCATCATGGTCAGCATACGTGAAGAACTACTCTTTTCACAATGAAATACGTTGTTTGTTTACAAGCTACTCCTATCCATGCTATCAGTTCTTGTAAAAGGTTGCACTCTCAATAATTATAAAACCTATCTGTCTGGGTAACTGGTCATTTTGCATAAAAGACTTTTCTCACAAGTCTTTTAGCACAAGTTTTGGACCATTCGCACAATTCTTAGTGGTCATTTCACACAATAATCATAAGTGAGAAACATCAATATAAAAAGGTATACTGATTGATACTGATAAGGCATTTCACCTTCACATGATCCAATGGCGAGAACGTATACATTTATTTACGTAATAACTTCAACTAAATCAAAATGCTCGTGAACATTAGGCATACTGGCAATATGTACAGCAAAAACAGTTCAACGTTAATAACTCGATATTCAGAGAGTGCTTCACATTGAAAGTCGGCACGTGCAAGTGTTGTGATTTGACAACTTGAAAATGTCAGTGTAGGTAGTAACTAGTGATCTTGTAGAGAGACAAGTTCGACCTGAAATCATTTTAAAGATCGAGAAGTTTAATACATCTATCAAGTAGTAACCTTTCAAATTATTCTAATAACAATTACCTAAGCAATGGAGAGTTCAGTATTGATCGATAAGCATCATAGCAACCGTGATGTAAACAAATGATTTCACGAAAGTTTCAAGAATTCAAAATAATTCAAAGATTATATGCTAGCCGTTCAATAAGTAATCATACAAGCTTAAGATCAATACAAATAAAGAAATTTAGATGTACTATAGCTTAAATGAATGCAGGAAAGGGCTAAATTTCTATGAGTCTTGACCGAGTAGCGAGTTAAAATTTACATGATTCGTTGGGTAACATGGCCATGAACTTGAATTTTATGTATTTACACAGAAATTTTGTAAATAGGTCTTTTCTCCTTTTAAATAAAAAGTGAAACAGTTTGCAGGTTTTTACTTTGACTTCAGCGGAGGGAGGATTGGTGACAATTACTTTCGAAATCAACATGGCGTCCTTGGTGTTGGGTCGTCATGTTCGTTTGTTTGTAGTGGATGATGTACTGTCAAAACTAAAAGGTTTTTCGTTTAACAAAGGAAAAGTAAAAGAAGTAATCGTTTGAATAGGAGTTCTTTGCATTTTCATAGAGAGAAAGATTTGTTCCTTTCTTCAAGTAAGAATAGTGATCGTGTTCACAAGCGTTTCGACCTAGTTGAAGTTATTACGTAAATAAATGTCTATGTTCTCACCGTTGGATCTTATTGAAAATGACATGTGAAGGTGAGATATCTTATCAGTATCAACTAGTATACCTTTTATATTGATGTTTCTCACTTATAATTGTTGTGCAAAATGACCACTAAGAATTGTGCGAATGTTCCAAAACTTGTGCTTAAAGACTTGTGCGAAAATTCTTTTGTGCAGAATGTCCTGTATTCTCTATCTGCAGTGCACATCTGAGTTAAAAGTATAATCCAAATAAGTTATAGTGGCCTGATATGTACATGCAAGTATCATATACTTGCTCAGAGGTTACAAAACAGATGGGCTGAAGTTCCATTTGCACTTACCTCTTGACTGAATCAATCTGTTTTGTGTTAAGCATTATTCCAATTAAGTGCCCACTGTAAATGATGTCAACAATTCTGGAGGATCACAGGTGTTATTAACATTGAAACCTAGAGAAACCAGAGTTACAAAACTATTATTTACATTTGATATTGGAATACTGGCACGTGTATATTTACTTTAACACTGCAATATCTTTAAACAACGGGAATAGCACAGTCTTTTACTTCTTTCAAAAATAACTCTAAGCTTCCCAAGCTACCTTTTCAACAAATCCCAACTTCAAAATAAGAGACTAAAGACAAATAGAATGCAATATAAATAGACTCAAACATCCATTGCAAAGGCCAGCAAGACTTTAAGACTGGATGAAAAGTTGGCTGGCAAAGGCTGGCAAAGGCTGGCAAGACTTTGAGACTGGATGAAAAGTTTGTTGGCAAAGGATGGCAAGACTTTGAGACTGGATGAAAAGTTTTCTGGCAAATGCTGGCAAGACTTTGAGACTGGATGAAAAGTTTGCTGACAAAGGCTGGCAAGACTTTAAGACTGGGTGAAAAGTTTGATAGAACCTTGACTTATCATGGTGCCCTTTACCACTTTTTTTCAACTAAAAGCTAAAATTCTCTTTAGCATATATAATTTCCTTTCCTCTCTAAATGCCACTGCAGGTCTTTGTAGCAAAATACTAGAATGTCTACAAACATCAATCCATCTCCATCAGTGAGTACTTCCTCTTTCATTACCCAGGAGCTTATTTACCTTTTGTCACATAAAGGCCACTAAATCTTCTCCCATATTTCAACTTAATCACCATATACAACAGCTGAGAGGTGACAATCTGCAATTAAGAGAAAAAGGATCAATTGATAAAAAACAGTTCTTCTGAATGCAATATACTCTCAGTGGTATTATATTTTGTCACTCTTTCATAACTCTAATAAAATTTGAAATTAAAAGCATATTCCAATTCTGAAACAGTTGCCAATATTTCGTCTTCACAAGCCTTGAAAAGGAATCCCCAAGGCAAATGGGCATGAGGACACCCAAAACACGCCTGATGGCGAGATGTTCTGGCTGAGATGAAGAGTTGGGGCAAAACCTGGACCTCAGGCTAGCCCAAGACAGGACGAGATAAAGAATGGAAATCTATGCTTCATAGGGCAAAGAGCATAACACCAAAGTTAATGCATGTCGTGCACTATTTCAATAAGTAACTGAAATCAATTTTAAGCTCTCTGACCGCAACTTTTGCCGTTTCAAGTTTAAAAATTTCAGGGAATTATACCTAATTCATTAAGGCCGAAACTTTTGACGTTAAGAGAAATTCACCAGGTACATGTAGATATCTAAGAATTGATGAAAAAGGAGTATAAGAACGTTTCTCCTCTTGATTTAATTCATATTCTCCCGGATTTTCCGAGTATCTATAACATATACTTGAAAATATTTATAGAGATCAAAAGATTAGAGAACCTAGAGTCAGCAAGTCAAAGTAACGTTCTTTAGGCATTCCAAAACTAAAAGGTCAGAATAAACATGGCGGTCTGACGGCAACTTGTGATTTCGCGTCTTGCAACTCGTTCCGTTTCCTTCTCTCATCGATTTCACGACATAAGAGACTCCCAATATCAGAACAGCTTTACGCTTTGCAACGAAAACTTGCATTTAACTGTTACCTCGTAAGTTGGCAGCGAAATGGCGCTGTACCACTCCGTGCGTTAAGTCTTCTTCGCCATAACTGCTCCTTTAAACGGCCTCGCTGTCGTAATTTCACTCTACTCCGCACCAAAACCTGACATAAAGGAAAGTGTGAACATACTTAAACCAAAATACATGTACTTTTGTCCACAAAGGAAGCATTTCCTACCTTAATTCGTAAGAAACCCTCCTGCCTTGCCTGTTGCACTCCGTCCTCCAAGACCAGCGAAGACAAGGTGCGTCAAATGAACTGCATGCATAATTAATCATTTGCAAGTACTTGCCGATCCTGAAGCCCTGCTCATATAAATCAAAGTCTCTCTGTTTTGAAAGAGTGAGGGGTCCTAAAGGTCTCCTTTCCAATGAAAAGGTCTTAATAAGTGAAACTATTCTGAAGATTTTTCTGCGATGAACATGCTGCAGTTGCCTCTTCTTAAAAACGAGACAAAAAGAGCAAGATTTGGGGGAGGCATGGGTGGGGAAGGGAAAGCTTGGGAAAATTATTCTAAAAAGTATTTTCATAACCAAATCTTCATTGGTTTTCGTTAGTTATGCCTAGCGTAACCTTGATCTTGGAAACTACTCAAGAAATTTTTGATCAACATTGCAAGCATATTTTTGGGGTTCACTGTTTTCTGAGTATCAGGATTGGGAGCACTCTGAGCATGCCTATCACTCACTGAATTATATCATCTTTCATGAGAGTAACTCTAGGCTTGGCCCTGCATATTCCTCCTACAATCAAGTCATGGCCTCAGGATACTGCATGTGAGAATCCAGGGAAAACAATAATTATTGCCTAAGGAAAGGAAAAATCAACATTCCTTTGGAATTTTTTTTTAATTAGAGAGAACCAATGAAACTTAATTTTCTACTAAAGACATCATCAAAGACAGTAAAGAACTCTTAACAGATATACTTACCCATTTCCTTGTTGTCTGGCATGTTTCCAACTCCTGCATAAGTAGGGCATCCACACTGCCTCAATGACGAGTTTTTTTCCTTTCACAAACCATCCATATTTTGAGGAATCAAAGCAAACTTTTATTATTTAACATTTAAACTCCTGTAGAGACAAAGTAACTGGAAAGCAAAGAACAGAGCCCGGTCTGCAATGCAACTCAGCCATAACTATTGATGCCTATTTTCACTCTCCATTCATCAAAAGCAGTGCCTTGTGTTTTGTACAACACTCAGTAAGTGAGATCGTTTACTAGAGCCAATCTGACACAGTCATATTACTTCAGAACAACAAATGGATCATGAACTGTATAAGGGCTATGATGCTAAGCTATGGTTAGCTGTCACAGAGATCTTATGTTAAAATCAGTGCACAAAGGTATGTAAAATCTGAGGGAAAAACATGTAGTATGTCCTAAGGCCAAATTTAATGTTGCAGTTCAATCTTTAATTCACCTTTTACATTAAGAGCCTTAGGGCTCTTTTTGGCTCAATTTCATGTGATTTAATTTAACTCAATTTTCAAAGCACAGGCAGAAGACCAGAGATTTAATTTACAGCTTTATTCCATTTATGAGCTGAAACAAAGAAATGAAACTGGTTGGCTCAAGAAGGAAAATGTTTCATGGAAAATTTTTAGACATGTGATAACTGACCAAGCAATTGGGTCAATTATTCATTTGGTTAGCAAAGGCTGCAGTTGTGGCTCAACAATTCACATTTGCATAAAACATGTCTTCATTTACAACATTTACACAAAAAACTGAGGAGTACCAATTAAGCCTTTAACTCCCATGTGACCAAGACAGAATTTCTCCTTACAATATCAATACAATATCAACCAGATAAGTTATGAGAATAAAGAAAAATATCAATTTGGGGATAATCAGTTTATCCAATACTAGATTCTCTGAACTAACATCATAAGAATTGTATGGTTGACAGTAAGGAGAATTACAAATGTGATCTGGGAGTTAAAGGGTTAACTCCAAGAATTTTCAAACTATTGACTAAGAGCAATTAACACATCTAATACAAACTACAAAGTAATTAACTCAGTTTAAACAAAAAGTTCAGTGACATGTTTACAGTGAGAAACCTACAGCTATTAAATTAGTTTTGGTTTAAAGAAAACCCTACTCTTACAGAACATTTTCATTTAAACAAACATACAGTCAAGTTATTTTCCCATTCTATTATTCCCATTCTACTGAATGTTTGGCTTGAAAAACAACCCACTTACTCATTTTCTAATTAAAAAAAAAACTTGATGGTCATGTATTGCGGTTGTTGCAACAAAATCTTGTGGGAGATAACAAGACCACATTGAAGAATGAGGTGTAAATCAGAAAAGGTAACTATTACTTTTCTCTAATTTCCTTATCTATATTATAAATTCCATAGTTTTGATTTCCAAGTTTTGGCCACTTACATCAAAATCTAATGCATGAAACAGTGTTAGTTCCTATGATTTACTGAATGTCTCAGAAGGTGAATTGCATGTAAATTACCACTACAGCAAAATCTTGCATGACTTGTCATTGGGTAAATATGTATTTCTCACCTAAAATCTGCACCAATTTATCAGTTTTTTTGTTGTTGATCAGGCACAAATGAAGCTTCCCTGCTCTTTGTAGTGATTAATTTATACTGATGTTATTCTCTACTTACGTACATGTATTTGCTTGATATAATTTAAATGTACAAGCTTTCCATCCTGTGAACATGACAAAAACAGTGGAAGAACACCTTGCAGTTATATTTTCAGGAATAATTCACACAAACCTGTCAAGTCCACTGTATGACACAGTTTGATAAAATGATTCGTGCATCCTTCAAATCCTTTTCCAAAATAGCACAACAACCTGTCAAATCCAAAACCTTCAGCTTTTTACATTTTTCAGTAATTTCAAAAAGACTAACACTTGTTATTTCCTTACACGATGATAGATTCAAATATTCCAAATTTACTAGACTGTGCACAAGGGAAAGAATTCCCGCATCTGTGATCCTCCAATCAGACAACAAATTTAAGTTCTTTAGTATTGTCAAATGACGCCCAATGTGGTGTAGTCCTAAATCTGTCACTTTGGGACAATTTGACAGATTAAGCTCTGTCAGGTTGGTTAGATTTCTAGCAATGTGCTGTATACCTTCATCTCCAACACGATAGCAGTAACTGAGATTCAAACGTTCTAATGTTTTCAACTTCTTTATACTTTGTAGATCAGAGTTCTCAACTCGAGTGCAATATGTTAAATTAAGTTCCAAGAGATTTGGAAAAAACTGCTCACATTTTAATCCTTCAAACCAGCCAAGAGGTACGATGGAATGGTCCAGGAGAAGACTCTTTAGGTTCCTTGGTAAACACTGAGCAGGAACGTTCCTCATATCACAATAACACAAACCAAGAGTCTCGAGACTTGGACATTTTGTCTTGATCTCTTCAAGCAAAGAGGGCGAAATGTTTTCATTCTTTTTCGTTGTTCCGATAAATCCTTTTATTAGAAGCTCCACAACTGAATCTGACAATCGATTCCTGACGATTTTCCACAAAGTCCTTAGGGAAAGCGGCCATGAACGAAGATCAACTATCTTCCACAAGGTTCGATCACAAACAAGGTGATACCACAAGCGACAAACAGTGGATGACGAACACAGAGTTTTTATATCAAGAAATTTAAAAACATGCAACATAATATTTGCTGGAAGTTTACATATTGGGGCTGTTTGCACGACATTAACTGCCGTTTTTTTCCGAGATGCTCGTCTTTTAGCTGCAGTGCAAGACGCCATGTTGGTCAGTTGTTGATAACACGGGCTCATGCCCCACCTTTCAGCTTGTCAGGGCCAGCGCTATACTTCATTCAAGAACAGTTCACAATCACTAATTCTGCAACTTCTTGTATTCTATACGTAAACATTTTATAGATGGCTACATTTTAATATTTTATGTACATTTAACTCAGACCATTTATTTACAAAGTAACCAGAAGAAACAGATCTCTGAAATGTCAACCCTGGATATAGGTATCCTAACTGTCTATACCAGATACTACAATCTATCTACTAAGAGACCTTTCATTCCTAAAGCCCCAGCATGGGTGGGGAGGGGCACCTACTCGCTTAAGAGGGAACCAAACAAAACTGGGAAAACATGACTGACTATATTATTACAATATTTTACAATCTCTAGGTACTGTACTAAAAAAATTGCTATGCATATATCTTAGACATGTTAAACCCAGCATCACCCCAAGCTTAAGGGGGGAGAAAGGTTTCCAACACCCGTAAGTAAAATTCAGATCTACACGGGTTAGATACATCGGTACAAAGACAACACCTGGTTTAATTTAGTTGAAAAGGGTGTGACTTCTCTGCCTCCTAAAGTGGTCAGAATCTGCCACAATCCATCACTGAGAGGATCAGAGCTATTGTTTACGTGTGCCACCCAATGTTCTTTGTGAAAAAGTGTTTCACGACAACCAATAAACGATTACTATTAATCTCATATATAAGTCCTCCACAATCGTTTAGCAGAAGATAACCCTAATTAATAAAATATTTATAGAAATATCCTATTACACGGTTTATCGACCGATTTGAAAATAGCACTTCACATTAAAAATTATTTGAACATGTCGCATTAAAGAGTTGGAGAAAAAAAGGTTTAAAATCCAAAGAAAAACTGCAACTTAACAAGGATCAGCCCTCACAAACACGAGATCAAGGACATTTCTACCAAGTGTTGCACAACCGAGAGCAATCAGAATGATCTAGCGGACAGATGGTCAACATCAAACGAAGTCAACAAGAAATCAAATTTTAAACAGGTAGAACATTTGCGGCTGAGAAAAACGAGAGCGACCGTCGCGATTTATTTTAGCAACGTAAAGTGATCACTGACAGTAGAACGTAAGTAAACGCGATTCAGGTTACTTTCTATGTTCAATGGAAAATTGCCCTGCACGTTGAGTCCTGTTTCAAGTCTTAAAGTTGATTCTGAGTACAATGTTGATTTTGTTGAACATTTTGAACGAGACTTCTTTCACAGGTAAAGGAGGAGTACATAGAATCGCAGACACATCATCGCTACAAACTATTCAAGACAAGATAATGAAGAAATAAATAATACCGTAGAAATAGTTAACGATGTGACGGAGTTATTTCACAGTGAAGTTCTCCAACCTAAATGCAGACATGTTCTTAAAATGGCGACTTAAGTCTTTAAATGTGCCAATCAGTTCATGGAATGTCTTTGTAACTTTTTAGTTACGTTAACTCTGAGGAGAAGAATGATGGTGTAGTTGGGCATCATCTCCTAGAATTGCCACGCCACCATGTTGTTCAAAGTACACCACCAAACTTTTGGGTGACTAAAAGTTAACAAAACAGCGAATAAGTAAGCAAGAAATGAAAAACGATCGGCAGTACGACAGAAAATCAGATGATTGATCTGACAGAGCGATCTCGAAGTGTGGGGTTATGTCGACAAAGGTAATAGAGAAAGCATTCGTCCTGAAATCCTGAGGGACTCATGGGTACCTCCTTTGCCTTTGTATAATTTTTGCGCGTAAGATAGCGTCGATTTTATATACGTGTGAAAGGAACCCGTAGGCATCGCCTCTCTCTAGTTCCCCGAGTGAGGAAGAAAAAACTTAACCCAAGAAAAGAAGAATTTATCTCAACACGATAACCTTCTTATGCCTTTCTCCGCGTCTCGAGCTACGAGGAAATTACCACAAGGTGCTCGATATGTTATGAAATAAATGTGTATTAAACGAATACCATCAATTAAGAATGTTTGCTCCAACTGACGGAATGATAACTGTGTGAGGACACAAAAGCCTCTTTAAAGGCTTAAAAGAGTGTTAGAATTGGGGGAGAGTGTGTATAGGTGGCATTTCTGGTGAAACCAGATGAAGGGGGCGAGAGGTAAGTGAGGATGCTCGATCCCTATTTCCTGAATTTGAAACAAAGGGAAAGAGAGATAGCCAACGATAACGTGTTAGAATGAAGGGGATGGACAAGCCTTATGGAAGCCGAGAGATGCAAAAATGGTGAAAATGGGGTCTTCTTCCCTAAGCCCCCCTTTTTCTGCTCTCTTCTCTTCACTTTGTCCGCACCCCATCCCTACTCCTTGCCCCCATTACATTCATCCTACAGGCGCAAAGAGAAGGAATTCTGACTACAGTAGGTACTTTTAAAACCACCAAGAAGCATAAAGTAGATTGTTTTAACTATTACTTACGGTTTGTGATGAATCCTCGCATGCTGCAACTGACCCTGACGGCTCACGACTGTAGTCTCGACCAATAAGATTTGACGACTCTTTAGGTGGCTGTGAGCCTGCATTTTCAAGGTCAGTTTGGTCGGTAATTTCGAGTAAATCTTCACCCTGTTCAGTTCTGTCATCAGGATTTGTCGACTGTCTGGGTATGCGCGGTAGGTCTTGAGGTCTTTGACACGGACAGCCTTTTTTGATGACGCGAACCACACAGTATACTATCCCCACTACCACCAGTAGTAAGATGACACTCGACAGTATTCCTGTCTGGAAGGAGTGGGCCACACTGGTTGGCGTTGGTGTTGATTCGGTAACTCCTACAAAAATGTCATAACCCTTCGATTTTATCGAATATTCATTGAAAGCACTCCAAAAGAATGTAAAACTACTTCTTTAAACATCATCTTGCACTAGCAAAGTCATTATGATGAGTTGTTGAGCAATATACTTTCCTCTTACAGTGACTCAGTCCACTCAACTAGGTTGCTGTTAGAATCCTTTGAAATTGGCACGCGGGTGGCAAAGAATTGATCACCTTTCGCATGTCGGATGGTTTAAAGCTGTGCTAGTGCTAGATGACACAGTCACTAGAAAACAGGCTGTAAGACTTTACCTTCGCTGGGATATTGACGGCGTTCGCTGCAATGTTTTCCATTTTCACTCAAGAAAAAGTTCTCTTCACAGAGACATCTGTGTCGTCCACGGAACGGCAGATAGAGACACAATTGATCACATCGGCCATTGTCTTTAAGACATGGATCTGTGGTTAGGATTTAAAGAAATAAAAAATTATATAACAAATATAACCTGAAAAAGAGAAAAAAAATCCTGGAGACACGGACTATTAAAATAAAAACAAGCAGAGTTAAAGAAGTGATGAAGAATAACTAAAACGATTTCCCCGGAAGTGACGGTTGTGAGGTAACAGTCGATAAACATTAAGATGATGAATCGTGCTTAATGGAACTGACCTATGTTTCCTAAACTAACCATTCCTGTTTGGTGTTCAGTTCAGTCAATTTTTACTGCACAAAAAGAACTCTCTCTTTTACAATCCATTGTTTATCCATTTGATCTCCACTATTTTCTGCGGGTTTAGGCGATAAAAGGAAAAGTAGAATGATAAAATTCTCGCAAAGGGAAACTGCCAATAATTTTTCAAGAAGCATGTAAGTATTTTACCTTGAATGGAGACAATACTATAGAGAAGGGCAATGGAGAGAAAAGAATAACGTATATAAAAGCAATTTCCATTTCCCTACTCTTATTTCTTACCCGAACTTTCTTTGCGGTTATGGAAAATCTTTACTCCTATTGGGTTTCTCAATCCATTGATAAGAACTGTACCCTCTCCTCCCTGGTGAGAAACGCGTAGTACTGCATTCTTCTTTGAGTCCGAACAATACAAAAAGTCTTGGTAAAAGTCCAAAGCAGTTGGGATGAATCCAGTTCGGTTGAAAATCACGGTGCGGTTTAACCCGTCTAATGAAACAGCTTCAATAATTCCGTAGTTATTCGCATCCGTTCCCGCCAAGTAAAGTTTTTTATCTGCTTCGTTAATTGCCAAGGCGTTTGGAAGATATACACTATTGTTGATAAATACTTCCCGGTCGCTACCGTCAAGTCTAGCTCGCTCGATTATTGGTGTTGCTGCCCAGCTCGTCCAATATATGTAACTTTAAAAGAACAATCGATATGTTTAGAGAGAAAAGACAAAATTAATGATAATGAAGTTGCATTTTTAAATCGTATTTTCATGCGTTCTGGTGTGCACTTACTGAGGAAATTTCAACAACTACAAAATTTTAAGTAGGCTCCCAGGTGAGGTAATACAGCATGATTAAACACAGCAGTCAAACGTCGAGCATGCGCAGGTCGCGCGCCAATTTCCCGCGCAAAATTCCAAAGGAAAACATAAATAAACAACCGCTGTCTTGCGAAATAAGCGAAGGAAAATCGTGTAATTTAATCAGAGGGAGGCTGCCGCAATAGCAATTGTTGTCGGCGAGAAAATCTTTCAGGGATTTTAACATACTCACCTTTCCGAGTGACTAACAACAACTGATTTCAAAGTCGGTGAATCAGGGCCATTGTCGATGACTTTGACTTTGACTCCGCTTTTTGGATCTCCAACATAAATCGCATTATGTTGTCCATCAGTCCAGTACAACTTTTTAGCCACCCAATGAACAAACAGTCCCTCCACTGAGCCGCCGTCATCAAAAAGAAAGGGCGTGTCCTTACTTATACCATCATGTAGGGATAGCTTCTTTATGCTTTTCCTGTCCGACCAGAAAATCTGGCCAGGTTCCCAAGAAAAGTCAAATGAAAAGACGTTCTCAGCTTTGATGGGTCTCCGACTTGAGATGTTGAACAGGTCTACTGTGAAAAAAGCATCTTGCGATCCAACCAACAACGTTGGTTCTGAATTTCAAGAAGAATTGAGATAGAAAATTATGCCGAACCAACAAGTGCAATAAGAAGTCCAAAGACATTAGGGAAGAGAATAAAAATAATGGAAGAATAATTAGTCACCTTTTTCAAACTTTTTAAAGAAGTGTCTTACAATCCTTACCAAATTTGAATGTCTCATTTCTTTTTGTTTCACAGTCTGGCGAAGACTGATTGATGCATGGCGGCTCGTCTTTGTTGCAAAGAGCACTGGAGACGTTTTCTAATTCCGTAAGGAAAGCAATAATTGATTAGGGAAATCAGCAAGTGGGTAGGTTGATTTCTCAACAAATGACCTTAAAAACCAACATACCTCCGACAACTAATTTAATCACCGGGCCCTCACGTCTTCTGGCAATATTCTGTGCAACACACCGATACTCGCCCGAGTCCCCCACCTGGCCACCTTTGATTACTAACTGTCCCTTGCGTACTCGCCTGCGCCCTTTATTTCTAAATATGGAGGATGACTCGCCAATTTTATACCACGTGACTTTAGCCGGAGGTGATCCGATTGGAGGCGCGCATGGAAGGACCACTGTTGAGTTGAGAGATACCACTCGACACGACGGGACTTTGCCGAAATTACGACGAAGATCTAAAAACAATAAAAGGGAACCATAACGATAGGGGTAAAAATTCAAGGATGCTCAAACCTTAGAAATGCTCACTTTATTTCTGCTCTCCTCAGGGAGAATAAGGCAATATTCAGTAACTGTAGCTGATTGCATTTAATATTTAACTAATGTGAACTTCACGGTGGTACATTTTAGAATGATTTAACTTAAGTCGAGCTTCTGGTTAAAAAATCACTTCAAGAAACTTTAGGAAAGCCTTTTTAAGGGATATATAAAATGAGAGAAAATGAGTCAGACTTAAACGGGGGGAGGGGTTTGAAAATCAGCAAAGTGGAAGGGGAGGAGGGGCAAGGGCAACGTTAGAAGACCTTTGGTAGTAACGTCATCAGTCTTGGTTCAAGAAACAGCTTTAAGACTTACATGCTTTTTCGATTATTATTTTTTCCGTTCGAACGGCACGGACACCCCACACTTTGCATTGACATGTTATGGTTCGTGTGTCTTTTGGAAAATCAGCTGGTGTTACTATTTTGGTCTTTTTCCTCTTTCTGCAGCCTTGGCAAGACTTTCCACACACTCTTGTACCTCCCTCTCGAAATTTCTCGCCAGCGCACTTAACCTGAATCTTGCAGACGTGATCTGCAACCCAAGTCAAGTTTACTGAGTAGTTTGGAGTGACGTAGTAATGAATATCTTGTGGTGCCTGTAAAAATACAGGATTCCCTCTGCTGCGGCCTTTCCGTGAATTATTTCCTGAAAGTTAACATGAGAAGAAAGTGAAATAGTTATCTTACAGATCTTGATTTTGTTCACATTCCAAAGGCAAACATTTTTTCCTAAGGTTTCGTAGGTTTCTTTAATCACTTATTCTGACCCTTGCGTGACTATCCATAAATTGAAATATATATTTGTCACGCGAATTACGCATCCGATAGAGCTGGAGACCATTTGGCAGCTATGGACTTGAAATCAGTTAACTAGTGAAAAATGACTTTTTAAGGGTTCAAAATCTGAAAGATAGATACAGGGTAGTTTAATAAATTTGCCGGTTTATAAAGTGATTTCGATAAGGTGGAAAATGGCCATACACGTTGTCTGAATGGATAAAATTTGCCTACGTAAGTGGAAACGTGATTAGAGCAGCATGAAACTGTCTATAATATGTTCGTGAGAACAAATTTGCCACAAGGACAGTTAGTTTCCACTCAGTCGCGGGATATGAATTACTGGCTGATTTAAATTTGTTTTCTACTGAATGAAATAACTTTCAATCACGTTCAAAGGATCAATCTATCTCCTTTATAAATTCGGAAACGTGAAATTTACTCGGTTGACCCCTTGGTGACCTCTGAATATTTGCCAGCTGTAAGAACTGCAGTTCATCACTCTTTACATAATTACCTTTGTAGTTTAGTAGCAGTTTCTTTCTCGTTTGATCTGTTCTAATAGTTTCACTTTGTTGAAATTCTTATACCAGTTTGCTGCGGCAAAGAAAGATTCAAACCGGCGGCACACGTGGCTGTCGCCTTTTCAAGAGGTTTAGAAACTTAATTCATTGGCGAAAACAAACAGGGTTCTTTCGGAATTTTGGTACCTGTGTTTTCCTGATGGAATAACCAAGTGGTAAAAAGCCAAAACTAAGTAGGTGAAACAAAAACTACATAGATGCTAGGTTACTAAATTTTTGTACGAGACAAATACACCTTGCATGCACATGATGTGTTGATATTAAAATGTGATTACATCAGCAAATTAAAATTGCAAACACGGTACAGATACAACACAGCGAGAAATTACACAACTTGAACTTACTTGCCACTCAACTGGTCCAAATAAAAACAAAAAAGTATGAGCGCAGTTTACCTTCTTGCGTAAAACACAGCACAACTGCTCCGGCAAAGATCGTGAATATTCGCAACATAACGGAAGAACCAACTCTCGTGCCTGAAGTGTCAAGAAAATGATTAGCTCAGTTGCAGATTCGCTTCCGACTCACAAGGTGAACTTTTCCTGAAGTATAACCGTGTTGGAGCTACAAATTCAGCACAATTCCTTCTCGCGAGGGCTTTAACTCCATCTTAGAATAATGTCTGTATTTTGGTGTTATCCTTTCATGGGTCAACGAACTCAAGAAATTGGGGGATTCCCCTTACCTCGGCCAGAACAAAAATAGTTAAGAAGTACATGTTAAGAAAGCTTAGCAAGCAGCACAACACCTCAAAAAGAATCTAAGAGAGCTGATTTCAGGTATCTAAAGCTGTCAAGTGTATACATGGACGATATTGATTTCCAGGGGTATTCAATGAACAACTACTTCTCAGAGAACAAAGTTGACAGTAGCATCGCCCGCCTGCCCACGCGCTATAACAAATTTACACAATTACGTAAAGCATCGGTTCTGCTATATTGCTCGGGAATATTTACATAACAACACACATTCGTTCATTGACATCTCAACGTTACTGATGACCCTCTTAAATGCTTATCAAGCACCTCTAATTGACTGAAAAAAATCCCTTACAAAGCACTGAGTAAGTCTGGCTATGAATTCTTTTGAATTTCCACGATTAAAACCAAACAACAAAGGCAGGTGGGATAATTTCATCATGGTAGAACAGAAATACTTAATATTCATTTGATAAAAGCTGCTCTTGATACAATTTGGTGTGTGTATTTATTATTATCATTATTTTTTTATCATTATTGTTACGTTAATGTATATAACAGGTTAAAAGTGTTTACATCCTGAATTAGTGATAAAACAGCTTAGTAGTGATCCATTGCGTAACCATAAACATAGTTAATTACAAACACTCGTAATCTTTTTCCTCTTCACAGTTCATACTGAAGTAAGAACACTGAACCGTTCGACGATAGGATTGAAATTATTTTTAAAAAGGATTGAAGTCATTATAAAATAGCGTCAAAGTGTTTCACAAGTTCAATCCGTTGAATGATTTTTAAGCGGTAAAAACATTTCAACAGTTCCAAAATTGAATCCAAGGGCAGACCCCCTCTCTCTTACATCCCACCCTCCCCCCCCCCTCCCTCCAGTCCGTGGTGTCCATTCAAGTATGTCACGTGGGTATCCGATCTCTTAGATAGGCGAGGAGGGCCTGGGTTCCTTTGCAAAGAACAGCTGGTCTCGGGTTTCTGAATGGGTTCCCTTCCAACTGTAATGACCTTGACGAAAGAGAAAATAATTTGGATTAATTTCAACGTTTGCAAGCCCTAGCCAGGCTCTCTGTGGAGATGTTCCAAAGATATGGACTCCACCCCAGGCGTCTCTTACTTAAAATAAGAGTGATACCTGGGGACGACTCAGTCACGTATAAAGGTGGGAAACAAGGATGGGTGTGCGGCTGTCCAAGACAAACTCTGTTTACCGTTCACCCCCTACCCTACACCCCCGCTCATCTTCACAGACAGCCTGACACAGCTACTGACGACGAGAATATTGTCTCAAAGGTGTTTGTCTTGTCTAAGGACATTTCCTGTAAAGGTTATCAAAAAAAGAAAATATGAATTGCGCGGACTCTCACTGCACCTTAATTGTGTAACATTTCCAAGCTGAGGTGGAACCTGAGCGATGTTGTTGTTTTGCAAGTCCAACGTGGAAAGAGCCGTCATCGACAGCAAGCTGTCAACGTCAATAATCTGGATCTAGAAACGTGAATTAACAAGAGTTGAGCCTCTGGTATAACTAACTAGCTTTTGCAGGAGGAAAACATGCGAAATCAAAATAAACTGTTTGAGTCAGATCAGAGTTTGTGCTCCTGACTATACCTCTAATCTGACGTAACCCTCCAAAATATAAAGACAAATCCGCAATTAAACGGATTGGGAAACTATTCAAACAGCTTGAGAAATCGTGGTGGTTAAAATCTTTATATGCAGTATTTACAAACTTTCAAATTAACTTTACCAGACTATAAAAGAATATGAACTAAAAGTTAAAATTAAAATAAAACCATCGTTAATGATGAATAGCAGTGTACAACATCATACTTTATTTTTTTTCATCCAAAAGTGCTTTTCAGAAATATCGACTAACACCTTACTCCAAATTCATCAATCTGAAACTTAGCGGGGATAAATGGAAAAGTCGAACACTTGGGTCAAAAATCAGACTCTAGTGTCTAAAATCTAAAATCGGACACTAGTCTGTAAAATTAAAAAAGGACACGACTTTCCAAAATCTAAAAACAGACACTGGTGTCTTAAACCTAAAATGGGCCACTGATGTCAAAAATCGACTAGTTTCTGGTGTTTACTATTAGATGCCAGCAAGAAAATCCTTTTGAGTCAAGGTTTTAAGATGCAGCATCAAAATTTTTGTTTAGAATAAAAGTAACCAATAATAGCCTTTCACCTGGTTACCACTAGCCAAGATAATCTCCAAGGTTCTTAATAAGTACAGAACAGAAGGCAGGTTTGAGAATCTAGAAAAATGTACAAAAATTTATGCAAATTATCAGGTTTCCAAGTTTTATAATAGACTTTGATTCCCCATCTTGTTCCTTGCTATTAATTTTTTAGCATTGCATAAATACTGTCTTGTAGCCAGCTTTTGTAGCTTGACTTAAATTAATCCCATCATCTTTGAATTAGAATCCAAAGATCTTGGTTTGGTGGATTAATTCTGTCACCATTTAACTCCCATCAGTGACCAAGACAGAATTTCTCTTTACAACATCAAAACAATATCAAGCAGACACATGATGGAAACAAAGGAAAAATATAAATTAGGAGATTATTAGTTGATCCAATATCAAATTCTTCCAGCTAACATCATAAGAATTGTACGGTAGACATTATGGAGAATCATTATTGAGATCTTGAGAGTGTAAGGATTAAGACATTTACTCAATCAGTTGGTTGATTGGTCAGTCAGTTATTTAGCCAGTCATTTGGCCAATCAGCTTCTCAATCAAACAGAAAGTAAGAAGACAGTCAGTAAGTCAGTCAGTCAATGGCTCCAGTCAGTCACAGAGTGTGTCAATCAGTTAAACAGTCAATCAGTCTCTTCATTAATCTGATAGTCAGTTAGCCAATCAGTTGCTGAATGAGTTGGTCAGTCAGTACATCATTCAATTATTATGTCTGTCAGTCAATCAGCAATCAGTCAGTCAGCCAGTCCCACAGTCATTCCTTCTCTAAGTCTCCCTGTCCTTTTTTAGCAAGAAAAGGAGTCATTAAATTAGCCCATAAAGCTGTCAAACAACCAATAAGTGACAAGAGTCATCTTGCCAAAAGGACATATGTAACCTGATCAAATTTCAGTGTAATTTAGTATTGTCAACTGAGTTAATAACGTAAATTGGCCACTGTCAAAGAGTTTTAAAGCTGACGTTTCAAACATTAGCCCTTTGCCATCTGCTCTGTTATACTCTCCCACCAGCGCAGTACCACAGTTTCTTTAGAAACTTACCCCCTTTGATCAAATTTCAGCTGTTCAATTCCAGATTGCACCATGTCAAAATGAAAACTCACTCATAATATGATTTCTGAAAACATAAATTATTTTGACTAACCGGTTATTACAGATATTTATTTCCCTAAGACTGCTCAGTCTGTCACAGCTGTCAGGCAGATGACTCAACTGGTTATTGCTGTAAAATAAAATCCATCTCAACATAAGCAATGCTTCTCACTCAACATATCTGTACATTCTCTTTGAAACCTTCCAGACATTTTAATTACTATTAGATTCTGTAGAGAAAAGTATGTCAAGAAGGTAATTTCATGAGCAACCATTTGAAAATTGTTAGAATTTTAGATCAGCATGATCACATTGAAGGCCATCATTTTGTCTTTGCATCAAGCTGCAAATTCAAACTGGCTTGAATTTCAGTTAAATGAGTTACAATGAATTATTTTGGAACCAGTGCTCATAGAGTGCTATGTCACTGTAAAATTGTTGCCTAATGTGTGCATGCATACCTCAAATCTAATGAAGAAAGTTTTGTTAAACAGCCAAAATCTGATGGCAGACTGGTTATCTTGTTCACTGATACATTCAGGTCTGTAAGAGATTTACTTAACAAGAGCAACCTAAGGAAAGAAAGCAAAAAAAAGACAAAAACAGTTAAAATGTCTGTTAAACACACTCACTCACCACAACATTTCAGAATTTATTTGTGGAGATTGATCTTCACGAGAACATGCAAGTTGTAGAGTCTGAGGCTGAGGGCCAGGGAAACTCCCCAAAAACAAATCGTAAAAAAATTGCATTTGGCTGTGGACATCCACATTGAGTGTGTTCTCATCCACTACTTCCAGATAAAATGTAGTGTTGGAGTGTTAGCTTCCAGGTAAAATGAAAATTGGAGTGTTGGATTTTGTGAATGGAGAAAGGAGGGGAGACCAAGAAAAACAGCCCTCTGTACAAGGAAAAGAACCACAAACAAACTCAACAAGCGTAAGGTGTCAGGGTTATGGCTCTGGGATCAAACCTGGGATCAGCATGTCCCTCCTGGCAGCAGGAGGGACATGCTGTACCATTCTGGCTCCTCAAGACTGAAGCAACACCCTGACAGGTTCACATGGTGGAATGTCACGCAAGCATCCATTTTCATGTGGAATCAGGGATCACCCTCTTCCTTGATCCTATTGCAAAATTTTGTTTCTGATTTGCTTGGGAGCCAACTCCTTATCTAGGGGAAGACTCTGAAAATTTGTCAAGAGTGTAGAGCAAAAAAATTCAGTTTTTCTCCCATGAGGACACAAGCCCCAATCAGTTCTGATTTCCTAGCCACACTGAGCTCTACAAACTGAGTTGCACAGAAATTTTGGGCACTACAAGCTACAGTTCTTCTACAGTTTATATGAACTGACATCTTCCTTCCACATTTTCCATCTCTCTCACCTCTCTGGTACTTTGTTCAGTACATTCTTGCTGAGGTTCAGAGTGGTCACTTCTGCTGAAGTAGCTGCATCCAAAACTTCATCAGGAATGTTGACTGCCTTCTTGTTGCTGCACAAAGAGAAAAAAATATATTCATGATTTGGTGCCATGTAACTTTCATTTGATCACCACATTTGAGCCCTCTATGAGTACAAGACCAGCTAATGACATACTTTGGCCACATCAATATGCCTTTGAACCCAAAATCCTGTAAAATTCTTCTTCACCAATAAACCCTTCTTCTAAAACTCTACACTTCTATAAAACATCTCCCCTATTGAATACCTCCCCCTTTTCAATAAACCCTCTTTCAAAGTTTCAGACATCTAGTAAGCCCGTCTCTCTAAACCCCCCTCCCCCCCTAACAAATACCGGGTGCCCTTCTAAAATTTCAAGCTTTTAGTAAACTTGCCTCTCTGATGAGCCCCATCACTAATAAACCTCGTCATTACAAATGTACATGTCTTTGATAGGCTGCATTAGCGAATGAATGAATGAATTAATTAATTGATGACTCTCATCTAGGCACTCTTGAAGTTAAAATTACCCCCTGGGAATTTATAAGTCTATTGGGGGCTTGTTACAACATTCACATATAAATTCAAACCAATAATCTTTTGTCAACACTCTTCAGCTTTAAATAGTCATATCACTAAATTAAATTAACCATTCCATTTGAAACTAAAAGAGACAATTCTCAAGTTATTATCCTTAGCTCATGACCTGTAGTTAAGGGTTTTTGTGCTACTGATTGTGTGCATGTCCAGTCCGCTTGAAGTGGTTGGTATGGCTGTGCTCACTGGTAAGGATGTCACAGGAGCATCTGTAGCATCTTGTTGTTTTTCCTCCTCTGGTAACAAAACAAAATTGTGTGCAATGAATGTCAAGGGAATATCCTAATTACTAACAGTAAACTCAAAGACTGTTATTAGTGTTCTGACCTGGGATGCGACTACGGAGATGCTTCAAAATGGCTTGTGTACCTCTCTGAGATTAAAAGACAGCTTCATTAACAAAGATACAGTGTAAAAAAAAAAAATTCAATACATTGACTCAGGTCAAATCACCACAGTGCAGTGAACATAAGACCTCAATGCATTCCAGCATTTTAAGATGAAGAGTGGATCTTAGCATAGTCTATGTATTACCTAACTTACATTGCACATCAACATATTACAAGTGTTGAAAAAAATTGTTTGCCTTACCATAACAACATCTCTGCGCAAACTTCTCAAAGGATTTCCATCCAGAACTAGAGATTTCAGATGTTCCATAGCACCCATTGTGTATGGAAGACTAATAATTATTTATAAGACATATATTAGGTTACAGTTGCTACAAAAATTAGATGCATTGTGTGAGTTAACCATTAATAGTGATATGAATTAGAGAAGGCTTATTTCAAAAAGCTAATAGACACAAAGCTGGGTTTTTCATGTAGCTCATTGCCAGAGACAAGTTATTTGGTTAATAAAACATTAAGACCACTTGGAAACTGAAGAGCAATGAGGATAGAGATAGAATTTCCATACAGATATCTTAATGCACAGGAATTTGGTTGTTGAAGATTCTTTTCATTAAAACTGCACCAGACAATTGTGAACTCCTAAAATACTGAAGAAAAACTAAAAGGAAATCACTGCTTACAAACTAGGCTAATCAAGCCATACTTTGATAATCATTTAAAGCATGGAACTTAATCCATGATAAAGCTGCTAAACATCTTACAAAAAACTACAAGGGAATACATAAAAGTTGAAGTTACATGTGTGTCAGTTGTTTAATATAGCAGAGATAATAAAAAGGGAGGAATCTTAGTAGTATACCTGTAACTCTTACATACAGAATACAAGGGCACTTACCCAGAAATGGCATTGTTTGCTAAGTCAAGTCTTTCCAGTTTTTTAAGCACAGTGATCTCATCTGGAATACTTAAAAAAAGTACCATAGATAAGCAACTTACTGTATATCTATGACAAGCACTTTTTTTTTCACCTTGAGAAAAAACCATAATGAAATGGAATCTGCTCTTAAACAGCCAAAAACTTTGTGTGACCATGGGGCATTAAAAATACTGGTAAACCTTCCTTTAAGGAGGCTCCATAGGGATTTTGCTCAATCTTTGAAAAAAATAAGCCTCAGAACAGAAAAAGGAAGGCAGTCCAATGTTATCAGAGAAAATCCCAGTTGTGAAGGAGCCAACTGTGACAGCAGAGGGAGCCATATGTCTAAAAGAGGTCTTGTGATGACTGACAAAAAGGGGTTAGCCACCTTGGTGGCTGTGCAACATCAAATCATTACAACACTCAGGAGATTGAAGACAAAAAGGGTTCACGATAACAGGATTGCAATGCAACGCATTTATTCAATTAAATGCCATAGCATTTTTAAAATTTTTTCCTGATTTGAGTGTGGCTTTTATGAAAGGGCGGCATTTATTAGAGGGCAGCATTTATTTAAAATCCAAATAATAGTATGGTAACTGACCATTTTAATTTTAAAAAACAGAAACACGTTTTAGTGCTTGTCTAAAAAGTCATTTTTTAAATTGCTGTCAATTTCACAATTTTCATGTTGATACTACTGCAATACATAAAGTGAATGAAGATCTTATGTTGGATTTGCTTTCTCAACATCAAAACTGGTATATTCAAAAGGATTTGTGTCTGGGTCACTCAAAATTTTCAACTACAACTGAAGCAATGATTGCTGTGTGCTTTTTGAGTCTATTGTTCAAAGAAATACTGCATGATGATGTGGTGTTTGTTTGAGGGTGGCATTTATTAATATTTCTGCTCTAAAATGCAGCGTTTATTCATGGGCAGGGTTTAATTGAAGAAATATGGAATATGTTAAATACTTACATGCTAATTCTGTTGTCCCTGAAATCAAATATTGACAATGAGGTGACATAGGAGAAACTTTCACCATTCAAACTGTTTATTTTGTTGTTGCCAAGATAAAGTTCCTGTGGATAACAAATCACAGTCACTATGAATTTCACATAAAGAGTCAATAACAGGTATGTTTCTTGGTTAAATATAATTATTTTAAAATATATTTAACCATTTAACTCACATGAGTGACCAAGATAGAATTTCTCCTTACAATATCAATACAATTTCAAGCAGATAAGTGATGAGAATAAAGAAAAATATCAGTTAGGGGATTATAAGTTGATCCAAAACCAAATTCTCCAAACTAACACCAAGAGAACTGTATAGCAGACATAAGGAGAACTACTATTGAGATCTTGGGAGTTAAAGGGTTAACACAAAACCCCACAAGTGCTCCGAGCTGTTAGCTGTGTGTCATTTGAGTTGGATGAGGATGGCTCAGAGAACACACCAAACCTACTAAGCTGTTTTAGGCTTCACATTAAGCAACTCTTTCTATCTCCTCCAAATGGAAAGGAAATAAAGTTAAATAAAAACAGAATAAGAATTAAATTAAAAGCAGTTGTTTACTCCCTTTTTGCTCCACAAAAACTTATTATGTAACCCACAATGTATGCTTAACCCTACATCAATCAATTCACAAAAGTCACAACAAATGATTCTCCAATTAAACAGTGTGTCATTAAAACATACAAATGTACCTTTAGGGATTGACAAGACATCAATAATGGCACACCAGTGAGTTGATTGTGACGGCAATCCAATCTTTCAAGATTACTTAACCTTCCAAGTTCTGAAAATGAGAAAGCCCCACATGAAATAATATACTAGAGCCTGGGAACAAACAATTTGGGAAATGACAGCTAAGAGAGAGTAAACTGAAATCAAAGTGCTTCTGGTTTGCCTCAACCTTAACAAAAAATGGGAGAGTCTGTGTGAAGGGATCTTACACTTGTGTAACTGATTACAGATTAACCCTTTAACTTCCCTGACCAAGACAGAATTTCTCCTTACAACATCAAAACAACTGTTATATCAAGCAGACAAGAGACAAGAGTAAAGAAAAATATCAGTTTGGGAATTATCAGGTGATCTAATACCAAATTCTCCCATATAGCACCATAAGAATTGTAGGGCAGACAGTAAGGAGAATTATTAATGAGATCTGAGAATGAAAAGGTTAAAAATTTTTAGTATGCACTGAGGAAAACTCGTAAACTTTTGTCCGCCAGGTATACCTGTTTAATTGTAAATCAGCCAGATTCCCCACATATAGTGATCTAACTTTATTCAACAATCATTCATAAATACTTATAAATTCTTGTGTGTATTTTATCAATTAACCCTTTGACCACTAAGAGTGACCAACATATGATTTCTCCTAACAATATCATAAATGAATCAAACATCAAGGTAAGGTGAATAAAGCAAATAATCACCAACTAAAGAAGCTTTTGATTGTTAAACAAATTCTCCTTATTAGCATACAAGGAAATGTTATTAGAATATGCATACTGATGTTAGGGTTAAACATAATATGTGGAAGCAAAATAAACTCACCTTTTGGAAGTTCATGAAACTTGTTATTACTGAGGTTCATGTCTTTTAATGCTAGAGAGAAAACAATTTGGATGTCATGCTCTTATTAGTACCACAGCAAAATATCAACACTGTAGCAAAAATGATCAATAAAACCAGATATAAATGGTTTTCAGCAATGTGACATTTTTTGTGTCCACATTTGCTATAGTTTCTGTTTTTATAAGAGTGATAAGCATCCTATTTCTCCTAACCCCTGAGTCAAACATTAACGTCAAAAGAATGACGGAAATGATTGCCAACTAAAGATGCTATTGATTGCTAAACAAATTCTCCTTGTCAGCACATTGGAAAATGTAGGGAGAACAGTATGGAGAATATGCATACTAATCTTAGGGTTTGAAGGGTTAAGGCTTTCTTACCACGCAGGTTTCCAATCTCGAGAGGCAGCTTTTCCAAGGAATTTTGAGACAAGTTTAAATGCCGTAAACTTTGACAGCTACCAATGGAAGGAGAAATCTCACTGAGAGAATTCTCTGACAAATCCTACAAAAAAAGATAACAAAAACCTTTTTTATTAAATTTCCATTATTTAACTGAACGTATCATAGTTGTGGATTGAGAGATATTTTTTGAACATGTAAATGTTTTGACACCATTTTATGTCACTATTCTCACCAGTTCTTCTAACTGCTTCATCTGTCTCAGATCTGTTCCCAGACAAGTGAGACTGTTATGATCCAATTTCAGAGATGATAAACTAACAAGATTTCCAAATGAAACTGGAAGGGAAGACAGCTTGTTGTGACTAAGGGAACAAAATTTAAAAAGGAGAATTAATACCAAAGGCATTCATCATTAAACTAAACAAAGAGAAGTCCCTTCTGGTATGCACTGTAAGATCTAAGCCCTTGCTAATTATTTCTCATGTAATTCAAATTTTTTTTTTTAATTTTTTTTTTTCATACCTTTTTGTTTGTGTTTTTTGTCAAGTTTGTTAGCACTTTTCTTTGTCACTTACATCTTTTTGCAAGTTTCTCATACGGCACATTATTCTCCTCTGGTATTTATGGCCAGTTTCTTTTGCACATAATTGCCTTTCAAGTTTTTTGACACAGCTGTCTGTTTTAGAAGTCCATTTTGTCGTTATATCAGGCATCATCAATGTACATATTTTTTCCTTTTCACTTCATATGTATTAATTTTTTATTTATAGTTTGTTGATCTTAATTAGTTAACTTAAGTTAGCCCTTACTCATGTTTTTAGTTTCAATCTACTACAACTGCTACAATCTAATAAACAGTATTTCCAGTTGGAAAGATAATTTTTTTTGGCTTTTACAAGCATTAATGGAAAGGATAATTGAGAGTTTTATATCTGACCCTGCCAGTTAGGTTGTTGAAACAAAGTCTAGAAAAACATCCCTCTACACCCCCCTAACATCAGTATGCATGTTCTCCATACTGTTGTCCATGTGGTTCCTAAAGTGCACTAAGAAGCTAACAAGGAGAATTTATTGAAAAAATCAAGAGCTTCTTTAGTTGGTGATAATTTTCTTTATTCTCATGACCTTCAACCATTTAACTCCCATATGTGACCAAGACAGAATTTCTCTTTGCAATATGAATACAATATAGAGCAGACAAGTGATGAGAATAAAGAAAAATATCAGTTAGAAGATTATTAGTTGATCCAATACCAAATTCTCAAAACTAACATAACAAGAACTATATCGTAGACAGTAAGGAGAATTACTAATGAGATCTTGGGAGTTAAAGGCCAGGGTTAAGTGTGATTCAGAGGTCATAATATAAGGATAAGTTAGATGCTGGTCAAAGAGTTAAGCTGTTGAGGCCAGAAGAAGGTTTATAATGAAATATTGTATAAAATATTTTTGCTGTATTTGTAATCAGAAGGACAAGGTGGGAAAGGGACATAAATGTTGGGAAGGGTATTGATCAAAGGGGAAAAAACTTTTAATCAATAATTCTTCAGTAATTAGTTTATTAAATATTAGACTTATACATTTAATTGTAATAATTTCAATTTCTGTGTAAAATTGTTTTCAAGGCACCTTAAGTTGAGTCTTTTAAGGTTCACTAACTGACCAATCTCATCAGGTAAAGAAGTCAAACAGTTATCATGGATCTGAAATAATACAAATAGGGTCAATAGAAATATTGAATGCTACTTGATATTTATACATCATATGACCCATACAGACCCATGCTAGCTTTTGTTGAAAAATATAAGACAGAAATCCTAGAATGGAAAATAGAAGACAGAAATCCCAGAATGAACATATAAGAAAGAAATCCTAGAATGAACATATAAGACAGAAATCCTAAATGAAAAATACAAGACAGAAATCTTAAAATGAACATATTAAACAGAAATCCTAAAATGAAAAATATAAGACAGAAATCTTAAAATGAACATATTAAACAGAAATCCTAAAATGAAAAATATAAGACAGCAATCTTAGAATAAGGGCTGTACTCATTGGTTAGAGTAGAACCAAGATAAGCTGAGGAGGATTGCAAGATGTGAGCTAACACAAGAAGACAAAAAAGAGAAAGGGCACAGGCGAGTGCACAGGCTCTCTCTTTGTCCTAATAATCAGCAAACAACTCAATTAAGACATCTGTCAATTAGCAATCACATGTTGATCAGTGCACAGGCTCTCTCTTTGTCCTAATAATCAGCAAACAACTCAATTAAGACATCTGTCAATTAGCAATCACATGTTGATCAGTGCACAGGCTCTCTCTTTGTCCTAATAATCAGCAAACAACTCAATTAAGACATCTGTCAATTAGCAATCACATGTTGATCAGACAGCTCTTATTACCTGTACTTACAAAACACCTTGATCATGGTTATTTTAACAGTACCCAGCATGCTTTTTTAAAAGGATTCCAGTCATAGCCTAGCTCACTGTGTGTCGATAAATCTCTGTAGCTAAGTGATAGAGCACTGAAGTGTAGAATTGAATCTTTAGGCCTATTCATTGTGGGAGACCTAGATATTTTTCTTTGTCCCATGCTCATAAGAAAGACCACCCCAAGTAATGTATGAGGAGAACAGGAAAGGACAGAGGCTGAACATGGGGGCAGCTCCACCAACTGAAAATGGACAGAAATCAATGGCTTTCCTCAGCCAAGGTCTTATGTCCATAGATACACAAAGAGAACTAACTGATTATTAAATAACTAATGCTTGTGACAAATCAAATAAGTTTTTCTTTATGAGGGGGGCATTGGGATTTTGGGTTTTGTGGTTTTGGCTTTTTTTTAGATTGGTTTTTTGGTTTTTGTGCCCCAAGACTTTGGTTTTTCAGTTTTGATGTTCATTGTGGTTTGCAGGTTTTTGGTTTTTTGGCATTTGGTTTTCGGTTTTCGTAAAAAACACTAACAGGTTTTCGGATTTGATATCCAATGCAGTTTACAGTTTTTCCAATTAGACCTATTTGGGTTCTGGTTTCTCTTCTATCTGAGCAGCAATTACGTGCCTCCATTGACCTCGAATAGCTGCTAAACGCAAATGTTATTGAGAGAAATGCATGACAAACCAATTGAAATATCACAGGGATCCCTAGACAGCCTATGTGTAGCTGTACCCTCCCCCTCCCCACTTAGGGGAGGGGGAGGGTAATAAATCCTGTCATGAAATTAGTGTAGTTTACTCTGTATGCTCCACTTGTCACCACTGTATCAGATTGATCAGGGTTTTAATAACTGGGATGTGAAAATGTATCGATTTAGACAGTTTTGCATGCAGTTTTTGGTTTTGATTAAATTTTTTCAGTTTTTTGGTTTTGGATGATTTTTCTAGGATTTTGTGGTTTCTTATGGGCCCCAATGCCCCCTCCTTTATCAACCTTCTGTTATATTACCAAATCCCACCTATGCAGCAAATAACAGTTACTGTTGGCTAACTACATGTAACCCACCCCACTGGTATGACAATTGACTATCAAAGATGGAGGTATCATTGTTTTATCCCTACACATGAATATACATTGATTCATTTTTGGATTACTATTCCTGACAGATTCAAAAATGCAATCACGAAAGCATCAAATGATTAATCGGTTGATTCTGATTAAGCATTACATCATAGGCTATTTTGGGAATTACGCTCCCAAGCTTCGAAGCTCTCTGACCCTTCTTTTTCTTCCAAGGCTTGTAAACATTCAATAAAAACACAGATACTCACATCCAAAACTGCTAGAGCAGGCAACTGTACAATCTCTGGTGATACCTCAGTTAACTTGTTGGAAGCTAAGATAAGCTTGCTAAGGTCGATCTGTTCCCACCATTTATCGTCCTCTGCACTATCCAGTGACACGTTCATCGCCTCAGGCGGTACATCCAGATTCACCCTCCATACCTTGTCAGGTACCTTGGTTAGCCCTCGGTTGGAGAGATTTAGCTGTCCTGATTTTCTTGCTTGACGCAAAAGGGCTTCTGCAACATCAGCTGTTTTTTCTTGAGTGGAGGCCTGACGCGCCCCAAATCCAGGATTTCTTGGACGCCTTTGCATTGCTTAGAAACTCTTACGACTATTATCAAACTTGAATCGTAGTTGGGGCGTTTGGTTCCCCTACTTTGTTAACTCGTAAATTTTCACAGCTAGTCAAATTCGACCACTTGATCGTCCGCCATGTTGATTGAGAGTGAGGTCATTGAAGAGGACTAAGCCCGAGTATCGATAAACCAACCAGAGGGCGTTGTTCGCTACCGGCGGGAAAAATAACAGCTGGACACCTCAGCTTGTTGTCAGTGCCACAGGTGATGTTGTTTTTGTTTCCATTCCTGTTGTTTTTGACATGGTTAAAATTGCTTCTCTGTTTAATTTATTTTATTTTATTTCTTAACATCTTCCAGCAAGTTTTTTCTTCAAAACTGATCACTCATATTTTCAGTGCAATGTAGTTGTTCCCTTAGCCAACCAATGCTAAAGAATTCTGATCAGAGGAAAAAAAAAGAAATGAAAAAAACTAATCAAAAGAATTCTACAACTGATTTGTCTTTCTTTTATTCCAGACACATCAGTTTACAAGATCAAAATAAATGAAACCCGTTAGAACGAAAAAAAAAATTCATTTCAGACGAACGACTACAGCACACTGTAGTCCCGTCAATTCTCTGACACATATCATTTTTCATCTGTGTATCAAGTCATCTGTAAAGTATGCCTTGAATCAAAAGATTTAAATATATAATTTTCTTTCAACAACCAAAACAATGGTGTCACACATCGAGAAAACATCTGCTTTAGTTGGAAGAATAAAAAAAACCGAATGATGAATACAGAAATATTTCCGCTGAAGTGTCATCTTAATCAACGATAAAAACGCCCAAAGGCTGGAATTAATGCTAATTTTTTTGTTTTTTTTATACGTTCCTTCTAAATAAAAAAGTCACGAGGAATTGAATAGTTGTGTTGCACTATTTGACTGAATAAATCCAGAGATGTATTTCCTTAACCAAAGCCTCGTGAGTTGTAAGCCTATGACTGTCATCTTAAATTTTTCCCTCTGATTAACGAGAAAATTTCCCCAGTTCCCACGAAGTGCGGGCTCTCCTAAGTTCCGGTGATGACAAATATGCGATGAAACACTCACGAAATACAACGCTTAATTTCCCAACCAAAGCTATATTCTATCAATTCTATCACTGAAAATGAGGAAAACATTTGCGTTTTAACTCGTTACGACAGATAATACCCTCGTGACATTTTAATAAAAGGTAAGTTTGTGTGAATTGGGTGCGAGATTTTTTGGATTAGCTAAATTTTGTTTGCGTCTAGATAAATGTCTAGATAACGTGTCACCAGCTAATTAAACACTGCAAATTATATGATAGGTATCAGAGATTGCTAAGGGGCGTCATTCGCATATGTTTACGCGCTTCACAGCACTAGAAAAGATCTGTCCTTTCACGAGGGATTGCTTCTTTATCATCGATCTGTAGCAAAAAGGAATTTTATTTCAGTGGGGTAAGTGCTTCAGTTATGAAATAGATGTTCAAAGGACTCCTACAAAAAAGGGGTGAGTTTCTAAAGAAACTATGGTGCAGCGTCTGTGGGGGGTAATTCAGGGTAATTTGGTTTTCTCTACTGCATTGATAGTGTATTGGCCACCGTAAAGAGTTTATAAAGCCGACGTTTTAGGCGTTAGCCCTTCGTCAGAGTGTACAATTTGAAATAGTATGGAAAGTTGCACATGTTTTATCTGCTTTGTATTTTACCTTTGCAAGAAGGTACAAATCGATATTCAATGACCAAGGGCGCATTTGACGTTTATTGCAAATGATCACATGCTTGATTTGTCCGAAATTCTGATTGAAGTTGATATAGTTGAATACGTACATTGTGCGAGCTAAAAATGTAAAATCTGCTTCAGAAAACAAACCAACAAGCACAGCTTTGCATGGGCATCATGAAACCAAGAGTATTATGGATTATGGTTTTAAGGCGAAACTGGAGTACTTAAATCTCTGATAATCAAGTATCCACGTAAATAGGGACAAAAAATATATAGAGAAAGAGACTCAAATGAAAGATTGCAGAGAAGCTGTTTGGTGGTCTGTATTGTAATGGAAAGCACATCTATGAAACTAACTTCCACAATACGATGTTGCATGTGTTCCTGAACTCTCTGCTTTCTCGACCAATGCTAAAAGACTTGAACTGTAATTTGTCTTGCAACACAGCACTAAGGTAATTAAAGGAACTGTAGTTGAGCTTTCAACACCAAAATAACGATCTTAATGAAATGGAATTTTTCGTTTGGTAGTTTATCCTATTTTAGACCTGAAGCCGTGAAAAGCAACGAGCTTTATTGGCTGATCGCATCAGATGACGCCGATGTCTTTCACATGGAATTTTAAGCAAGGATTAGTGTGTCGTGTGCTAATGGTCCTCCTACTGGTGCCAGTTCACAGTTTGAGTGAGAATTTTCCAAAGTTCTTTAGGTAGAATCCTATTTTCAAACGAGCCGGATAAGCTCATTACGGGAATTTTAAACAAAATTACTGCGGTTTTTTTTCTTCTCACGGGGAGGATTTATACTCGATGGCACACGAGAGCTCGCTTCCGAAAGGTGCTGATCTCTCCAAAAATAAACACAGGCTCGAGCTGCCGGTGGCTAATTTGGCTTTATTCGCAGCGAGAACTTCATAAGAATGTGTAATCTGCTGTTTTGAAAGCTTAAGAAGCTATTTTTGAAGTGAGCTTAACAGTCTGCCTTATGTAACACTATCATAGATACACCGAATAAATACCCATTCATGCCTGAAGGCCACTTAGAGGAATCAAACTCTCCTTACGGTTTTTTAACCCCACGAAAAAGTGCACACAAATGGACGAGTTTAAGCACCGTTTTTAAACAATCGTATTTTTTCTTTGCTCTCCAGCTGAAAACGAGTGTCATCGGTTGAGCCAACAATTCAATGCAGTCTTTGTTGCATAAGCATAATTTTCATACTTTTAATAAGAAGCTTATCAAATGGCCTCTTTGCGGTTTTCGAATCTTGTAAACATTTACGCTGTAGCTCTAAATTTAAACCTTGTAGATAAATATAAGTTTCTCATTGTTTCCCTTAATCTGCATACCCACATAAAGGCAATGTTCAGATGATGTCCGTAAAAATGCGGAGAAAAAACAAAAAAACAAAACAAAATGAAAACAAACTTAAATAAAAATAAAGAAATATCTAACAACAACAACGACAAAGATAAGAGTAATTTTTGTTTTAAAGAATTTTACACTGGCAAATACTGGTGACTTATCAATATTTATAAGTTCAAAGCAGGTCCAAATTTCTCTAAGAATGGTTTAAGTGTTAACTCTCGGAATGACTAAAATGCCTCATATCCTCACACCTTTACAATATTTACAAGGAGTTATGAAAATAAAACAAGTTACTCTACTTGAAGGTGTAAGGCAAAATTAAACCATTTCTTTTTAGTATCTTAAATAACCAAGTTTCACCCAAAAATAAATGATAAACACCTGGAGAGGAGCTAGCTTAAAAGATGCGCGAATGCACGAACAAATACCAAGAAAAGAAATAAGGTCAAATCTCTCCTCGCCCCATGATACTGGTTCTGCTGATGCGCAAACTTGTGATGCTCGATAAAATACATCGAACAAATCTTTATTTTGTGAGGTACACTAACGTAATCATCAAGAACATCTCCATCTACCAAGGAGAGCAAAACCTTGGTGAAAAACGATAAAACTCTCTTATGGAGTTTTTCAAGGTTACATCATCAGGTATATGTCTTTTTTTATATTATTTTGGAATGAAGTCAAGAAACCATACTAACAAAGGGACACAAGCAAACAAAGCGAATTCGTTAATTCCTGATACATTAAGTATTTACTTACAAAAAATAACAGTGTAACAAGGCATGTTTGATTGCTGAAAAGCTCCATTAAAGAAAAAAATTGGAAAAAAAACATTCTGAGATATAACGATCGTATTCGCTCATATCAAATGAACTTGCTAACAGTTATTATTACATTGTTAGCTCCACTCCGGTGAAAGTTTCCTATCACTTTCTTTATTTTCCTTTTTTTTTTGTGTGAGTAAATTGTATTCTGCCCCATAATTAGCCTGGCAAATTCCGGCCCTTTATTCAAATGTATATTTGATCTTAAAATTACTCGCGTGTTTGCCATTGCCTCTTGTGAATTTGCCTTTTGCTTAGAGTCATCTCTGACTTTAGTCTGTAAATGATGATAAATGATATGACCTCTTGAGCCTTATGGTCGACAGTGTACCTTTCTTTTAGCGTAAAAAATTTGCCGGGAATCAGGCATTTTCTTGGAGATTGCATGCTTCTTGCTATCTTTGTATGACCGGATGTGACTTTGTAAAGTCTTCATCGATGCGTTTCGGCGTCAAGATAAACGAACGTTCTTAAAAACTTGAATCGATTTCGCCACTAATCCGGTTAAAATTGATAAATAATTGTAATTTTGTTACTTCTGCAATTCTTGAGTTTCAAAACCCTCTCGAACTTCCCTTTGACTTTTCTTCCCTTCCATTCTTTTGAACCAACAAACGACTCTTCAACCGCAAATACTTTCCTTTGTTCCCCTTGTGTTCCTAGCGTGCGTGCACCCTTAATACCACTATCACTAGACATGGTTCAGTTTGGCTAAATATGAAAGCGCTAAATTTTCTTCTCTCAATTGAATACTAAAAAGCTTCACAGCTTTGTTGAAAGTGCAGTACCAAAAATTAGGTCTTGAGCTCTCTCAGAGCATTCGTTTTTTTTTCGTCAATGGTTGACAGCGCATGCGTCGTGAGTGTGCGGATATGCTGCAACTTCATAGTATGGTGAATTTTCCTGAGATGTGAATCACTTTTTTTTTAATTTCAAGCTTTTCCGAAGTATCATGGTTTGCTGACACCGTTCAGTAGTTAAACACGTAGCAATCGCTTCTTAAGCCCACTACACTAATTTTAGCATGTCTAAGTGTCTTCGTTCAGTTGCTAATTTAATGTTATGCTCTATACAAATTTTGCGTTCAATTCCACATAACAAATGGGGTGCCTTCGATTGCGCAAAGCACTGCATGTCTTTTGTAATGTATCACATCTCTTTTTTTACACGTTTACCAAACAATCATGGAACAATTCCTACTTGACCTACTGATGTGTGTGCAGTGGAACTTGAGATGTTTGTTCTGGAGTTCCAATTGCTGAGCGGAAAGTATTTGAGTACAAACTCTAGATAAAATCAGTAAAAGAACCGCAAAGTTGAAAACACTCTTGTGGCCTGTTATTACTCAGGTTCTAAGTACTGTTATCTGGTTATGAAACAAGTTCATCATTTCTAAGCACCCTCGAGTTTAGAATACATTTAAGTTCACCTCAGGCTATTTCAAGAGGTTGATGCAAAACTTAACATTTTCATAATTCTTTGATAGATGTCAACTATAAGTCACTTATCAGTCTTTAATATCGAAAGAATCATCTTTTCTCTAGCTAACGAAGTTGCCAGTGGCGTTGATTATTAAAATCTTAATATCATTAATTCCGATCTAAATGAAATTGATGTTTTGGTTTTTAGAACGTTATATTTTTGGTACCGGATTTCTATTACATTAAGATTCTGCACTGGCTGTTAAATTGATTGCTTTCATGAATGATCTAAGTTTAGAAAAAGTTCGAGTCTTTGAAATTTCGAGCACTTTCAAATGATTAATGACTCATCAACTATTGAATTAACAGCCATTACGCTCTTTAAGTCCTCTTCGACTTGATCCCATTTATTCACTTTCAATAATGAAAAAAAATCATTGATCCGAGTTGATACACCTCAGAGTACAATACAATTCTTGAGATCATTATCCACTGTCGATGGGCGGACTTACAAAACATATTAAGATACCCCAGCTGTACACGTTGTTAGCGCATGTAAGTTTTGGAACTTTCTTAACATTATGCCGCTTTATAGTACAGTGCTTATGTTTTTTTTCCTCTGGTTTTTACTGGCGATAAAATTTTCCCCAAACGTTGCTTTAAAACTCTCTCTCTTTTTATAATTTAATTACTTATTTTCTTTATCAATCCACTGCGTTTATTTTGTAAAGTCTGTCAGTATTTCCACTCCGTTTTCCACTAGAACTATAGTAGGTTAGTTTCAACCTTTTCACTTATCGCTGTCTCGATGTGAAATGAAAAGTTGTATCTGCTCAGATCTGCGCTTCCAAAGCTGATGCGACAAAACTGTTTCTTAATCATAAGGGGGTAAGTTTCTAAAGAAATTGGGGATGTTACAAGAAAATAGGCTTCGCTCTGACGCTTGAAACATCAGCTTATGAAAATCTTCACAATGGTTGCTAAAAGCCAAATTGTCTTGTTTCTGAGTCAATCAGTTACAGACACATTCCGTTTCTCTTCCTCTTGTACCTAAGAGGGAAGAGAAAAAGGTTATTTGGGAGAAGGAGAGGGACCAGATTAGTGCCGTGGTAGGAATCTTGATCCCTGTGAATATAGGGTAATGGGATAGCACGCAGGCCTGTTCCTCTCCCTCCTAACGTCGATATTTCAAGATTTGACTTGATGTTTTATGTAATCAAACCGGTGAGACATACGAAAAAATACGTCAGTGATAAACAGGGTTCCAAGTTACCACGCTTTTGAGAGTCTGCGTCATTAATTTAACCCAAATGTCTAATATTCCAGACGGGATGTGCTAAGCAGACTTCTGCCGGAAACTATGTTAGTAATTCTCAATTCGTCGCATAGTGCGGAATGACATCTTTCCTTCTTGTCTTCATCACTGAGTTTCCGCACCATTGTTACTTGCATTTATATTTCAACAAGAATGTTAAAAACGACTAAGGAAATGTCGATATGTGAACCGAGGGAACATGTGGGAAATTCCTGGCATACGAGCCAAACTACATCAACTTGACTGATGATCGAAGCTCTTCTATCAATGTCTCTCCCCTTTGTTTAGAATTTAGCACAACAACTTAAAAATATTATGGTAGGTTTCTTTTCGGAGTCCAGTCACTTTTCTCAACACTCAAAGTTTTGCAAGAACTGTCGTGGTAATTCCTATGACCAATTGCTGAACCTCTTTCGTAAGGAATTTTTTTGACCTTTGGATCTGAGCCCACATTGTTTGCAGCCGTGATCGTAAAGTCAAATCGTGATCTTTCGTCTAATTCTTTGCTCTCGAATCAGGAAAAAAATCTTTCGTCAGTTTGAATAATAAGTTATAAGTTGGTGATTAAGAGTTCACATTCCAGAGGATGAGCCCTCTAGATCAGAATAAAAGAAACACAGCAAACACCTAAAGCGCACAAATGTTAAAGTGATTTGGATTCAATTAACTGATGTAAGTTTATTGTTTATGGCCACTTTCGCCAAAGGCTAACCATACTCAAGCTGTTCACAGCTGTGGCTTTCACAGCATGTCATTATTGATTATTTCCAGCTATTTATCAATTGTACAAGCTCCTATGTTGTTTTGTCAAGCAGTTCGCACGAAACGACATCATGAAGCGATTTTGCGCGAAATGAAGTCCATGTTTCGCGCTCTTCTCGAAGACACGAAACCGAAAACAAGTTATTTTTATAACATTTTTCTCTGGTGCAGCCATGCGTTGTACAAACACTCTCGTAGTTGGTTATAAGCCCTGTTAATGTCAGACACAAATGATTTGATCTAATCTGCCATACACAGTGTCAAGTCTATTAATTAAAGCCAAGAACCACCCACTTCTCGTGATCTGATTGGTACGTGTAGAATTGATTGACAATCACTTTATAACCTTGGCTGGTACAGTATTGCGGTCGGTTGCTAGATAGTTATTGAGTTCGTGCAGATGTGTGTAATCGTAAAAACGTCCGCGCAAATTGGTTGAGGCTATTGACGGAGCATTGACAGACTGAAAAATATCTGTTTATGCCAGAGGTACTCCACATAATATAAAGTAGACAAGTATTAAGTTTCATAAACCGAGACAAGCACATCACTTTAGAAGAATCATCATCAGAGGGGACTGAGCAATCCAAGCTGTGTTTTTCTGCAAGGGTTCTTTGATATAAAAACAACAGAAGAAAGACTTCATAGAGGTGAGAACCATGGTATTTCACACTTTCGTGATCAATCAGTGATATTGTTCACAGGTAGATAAGCCTGGTATCTTTCGACTTGCGTAAAGCGTGCAGATCATATTGACGAGTATACACCCAAAAAAGTATGGCTAGGACAATTTGAAACGGATCATAATTAAGACATAAGAAGGCTGCATTTTTACCCTGTTCGAACACAGAAAAGCCACCTCAAACCTCTGTTTGTTGGGCAAAAAAGCACACAATTTGGAGGTGTAAAGCGATCTAAAGTCGCGTCTAGATGTTAACATTATTGTTGAACTTTATTATTACAGTATCAATGCGTTGTACAAACACCAGTCACGAACGATACTGAGTATTATTTTCCCGATAAAGAACTAAAGACCTTGTTTAATTGAAGTTTAAAGGATAGAAGTTACTTAAATGCAGATAGCATCTTAAAAATGGATCATCAAGATAATATATCCGCAAACAAATAAACAAATCCCTGATGTTTGATAGATAATCACTTGTCTGAGAAATGACAAATATTTTCTTATACTTGATACTTCTATTCAGCGCGAAACCCTAAATTTACATGTTCATTTCCGTTCGTTCTGTTTGCATGATCACAAGAATGATTGCACTTTCAAAACACTCGGCGATCATCAAAAGAGCAGCATTGTTCGTAAATTAGTTTCTGATATGGTATTCAACAACGGAATTCAACGATCGCTGCCGGCTAAAGTTATTAATCTTCCACCCAAGTTACTGCTCATTGAGGACAATATCTTATGAAATTACTACTTACTCGACCGACCATATTATCGTGCACATATTGCCAGTATAGTTCAACAAAAGAACTATTCAACTGGGATCATTTCTTTTCTTTGCCCTCGGGCTGTGAACGACAGATTAAAGGTACAAATAACTAAATATCTTATGTCGAGCGCGTGATAATTACAGCTATGGTTCAGTGACTATAGCTCACTACCTTGCTTTAAAGATTTCTCTCCACGTTAGTTGCGATTGCATTTAACACTGCAACAAAATGAAAATTGCGCAGTTATAGTCGTTGCAGGATCATGGGTAAATTATTGCCAAAGTTGCCCTCAGTCATCTGATTTCAAGAGCAAAATATCGGATAGAGAATGGCAAATATTAGATAGCTTTCAAGAGTATTTCAACAGTTAAGTGACACCTCCAATCAACGATTTTCCGAAATTTAAAGTTTTTTGGAATTCGATTTATTTATGATCATGTTTTTCAAAAATAGAAAGCCTATACTGTTTTAAAAGTTATTTTAATCTTTAATTGTGTGGCTTCTTCTCCTTTTGAATTGCAATCTCTTCGTTTTAATCTCATGATGGTGGAAAATTACAAACTAAGAGTAAGAACGTTTACAACAATGTCCACCACATTGAAAAGGTTTTTTTATAAGAACCAGAGAGTTAGATGACCGAAAAACCCCTTAGGCTAAATTTAATTTTAGAATCTTTTCAACTCCAGCAGAGCTACTGATCATTGCCGGATCATGCACTTAATAAAATCTCCACCTAAAGCTAACAATGCAGTTTTTGAACCTCAATTATCCATGTTTCGTTTCCTTTTCTTGGCTTAAAATAGCAAATAATGTATGTAATGCTCTTATACTATTTCTTGAATTAGGTTGTAACGATAGAACTTTCCATGAGCTATCCGAGGATCAAATCGCACCGAATTTTACAATTTTGTTAAAAAATTTTTAATTAGTTTCGGGCCTTTTCTCGGCTGTTTAAAGCATTAAGAAAAAAAAACTTTCATCCAAGTACGCGTCAATTAATCGTGATTCCATTCTTTTCAATTGTGTTCCCATTCGATTCATTCCACCCCTTCTTAAAATATTCAACTTAAATCCGAAAAGCTTTGTTTGTTACTAATCTGGCCGACGCTTTGATAGAAAACCAGATGAATGGATTCCTGTACAATGGAGCTGTTGACGGTGAAGTGGAGTTGCGCCAGAGCGCATGTCCTACATTCTACTTACACCATTTTTTTTCTTGAGAGTTTTGACATTTTTTCACCTCTAGTTCTCAAGAGAAAATAAAATTCGTGCTCGAGCCAAAGTGTTATACCAAAAGGGGGTCTTAATCGGATCTCGACGAAAAACGATATATTTCCTGTGCCTGAGAGTAAATCAATGATTGGAAGGAAAAATAATAATAATAACAGGCCTTTCCTAAATTAAATAAACAGTTTATGGTCTGAAGGCCTGTGGCATATGATATTTCTAGAGCTCTACTGAATGAAGCAATAAATTCATGGTGTGCAGGACGTTTGTTTAAGCGCCTTGAATGAATAAACAAATTGGATTCAATGTTTTTTCTTTTCAACCTTCTTTGGGTCATTTTGAATGGCAGTTAAAGCAATCGTAAAATATCTCAGTGCAAAATAACCTCACAATGTTTTAGTATCGTTTTTCTCTCCCTCACTCCAGTGTAGCTTACCCTTAAAGGATCTTTATTTCTTCCTTTAAGAGCTGGGCGGGACTAGCTGAAGTTGGTTTCCGTTGTTTAAGCCGGAGCTTCCCCCGTGCGTAGTTTGATTTTGTTTTTTAACCACAGAGAAGCGGTAAGGAAAATCATGCTGAGTTCTCTTTGCTAAGCAACGCGCGCAGTTGTCTCGTTTTGTCTCCACCAAGAATGCTGATTAATTAGTATGGAATTTCCCTTTGACTGTGCTCCGGAAACACTAGTTTCAAATTACCCTTAAGTTGGTTTTCGTTTTTCCGCTTTTCAATACAAATCACAAATCACCTTGTTAGCTTGTTAGATCAGTCCCTCAAATCTCTCGGAAAAGAGCCATTTAAATCTCCCATGGTAGCCTGATAGCTGAGAACATTTTTCATTTCCACACGGCAGGTCAACTACTACCAATTTTTTTCTCACAGTTGGTCCGTTCGTTAGAATAAAAAGGGTTTATTGCCTTCTCGTTACTGTTTGGTGAGTTAAAAAACTATGATCATTAAAAATCCGAGTGGCATAGAGTATATTGATAACGAAGGGGTTGTGTCAAAAGTGATCTACTCTACAAAACACTTCATTCTTGGGAAAGCGACTCTGTCCAGTTGGAGCATAAACTGCGTTCGTAGATAAATGGTCAGGAATTTGACAAGAAGCAGCAAAGAGCGCCTTTAGATCAGGTTCACTTCACTCTAAAGAGGAAAAGAATTATTTCACGGAATCTCGTTAAACTGAGATAAATTTGAACGTCAGAGCAAAGCAAACAATGAAGGTCACCAAATTAAAGGGCTTAAGAAAGGAGGAAATAAGAAAAAAAGCTGACATAAACTGCGTATACCTTGTTAGTGCTAAAACCAGATTATGGAGCTAAATAATTAAAATCCTGGCCTCTAGAGCAATCAAGGTCGTCTAATCGTTTTAGATGTTAATGTCAGTCCTGAGAAACTCACGCTTGGCGTACTTAAGTTTTGAATGATATTTCAAAGGAAAGAAAATTCTTCTTCAAAAAACTTGTTCGGGACTTGAAAGTTTAACAAGTACATTGCGGACTAATTTACAGCCACTGGTTTTACTTAAAACTAAGATCTAAGAATGTATGCCATGAAATGATTAAGTTAAATCAAATTAACGGCGATAACTCGCGAAGATGGTGTTAATTAGAGCTACTATTTCTGGATTTTAGACCAAATATATCACATGATTATCTTTTGGAAAAATGCATAAAAAAGAAAGATATTGGCCACACATCAATCCACATTACAATTCATTGATGACAAAATTACTGAAAACTTTCGTTCCAAACATTCCATTGTTTTTTTCTGGCAAGATAAGCATTTCTTTTAGCGCGTTTTTCCACTTCTGGTACCACATCTCATGAAAGGGAACTAAAAAGCTAGAAGGGGTGGACTGATGCCTTCATTGGTGGACAATCAAATGCAATTGTTCTTTTACTGAAAAATTCAAATTAACTGTGCTGTTCGTTTTCTGATTGGTTTGTTAGCATTTAATTTTCCTTATGATTCTAATTGATGAAAAACGTCGTCTTTCAGTTTCTCCGCCCAGAATGTTGAATCTGACTCAGGAAAAGTAAGAATAATTTTAAAAAGCCAACCGAGAATTTTCATTTATTTGATTATTCATTCATTTTAGTGTAGCAACAAGCTGAGAGTGAAGTTTAACTGGAAAGCTGCCTACAAAATTTGTAAATATCCACAAAATTTTTACGGCATTCAACTTACGTATTGCTCTGTGATTGTTTCAAGATTGTTCTTACACCTTTTAGATAAATGTTTCTATGCTAAGTATGGATGGTTGGATAGAAAAATCTAGAAAGCTCTTAAGGATTTCTTGCCGACAAACTTTACGATTCTCAGAAAGGAAACCAAAGTTAGCTGCTATATCTTTGTCATCTTGTGAACCCTTTAACTCCCAAGATCTCATTAGTAATTCTCCTTACTGTCTGCCATACAATTCATGTGATGTTAGCGTGGAGAATATGGTATTAGATCAACCTTTGATTCCCTAACTGTAATTTTTCTTTATTCTCATCACTTGTCTGCTTGATATTATTTTGATATTGTGAGGAGAAATTCTGTCTTGGTCACTCATGGGAGTGAAAGTGTTCATCTGCGAGCGGGTCGACGCTCTTATGATATGCCACAAAATTTAACTAAACGCAAACCCTCTACCCTGACTGGGCGATATTTTCTCTAACTGAAAATCCTTTAAATCTCAAGAGCCGATAAAGAAGTTCTCCCTTTCAACTGTCCTTCATTTTCATCCCTAAGAACTTGTATAGAGAATATGGTGTTCTATCAACAACGCACCTTCTACTTGATAAGCTTGTTCTTTCTTATTACTTGTTTGCTGGCTATTGTATTGATATCGCAAGGAGAAGATACATGTTGGTCACTACTGGTAGTTGAGGGCTGAAAGTTAAGGATTAGAACGTACGAGTTTTAAAACCACCTTCATAAACGCCCTTCCCATAAGGTACTGATTAAAGATGCAACAGACCATAAAAGGAAACAAACTCTCCCACACAGATTAAATGTGGAACAAATTATACAGACTGGGTAACCGAGGACCGTTCTAGAAGGCTCGTCTTTCGCCATCGTCTCTTATCACTCCATTGGCAAATTAATATCTAAAAATGTGGCTCTTGTGTTCTTGTTCTCGTCTCAAGAAGTGATAAATTGGTAGGAAAACGATTTACAAAAGCACTCTGTGTTGGTCAACAAATTCGTGACGTGTTCATTTTTTATTGAAAATTTTTAATTAACGTGATTAAATGTCCGCACCCAACCTCTAATGAATATTATATTATTTTTGAGCGCTCGGTAGTTTTTAATTAGCTCCCAACTATGTTCTAACCGCCCCTTTGTGTCCTCAAAGGCTCCGAATTCTGCCGGTTTTTAGCTATTATTTTCAGCCTTTGATTTAGCTGTGCTTGTTCGATCGCTCTTGGACCGGAAAAGATAGTTAACTTAGCTAGAGAACCGGGGACGCATGTCCCAGAGCTTTCAGACATCTTTTGCATTTAGAGATTCTCCGACGTGATAGTTCTTGTTGTAGATTATAGCATCTACATTGTGTATTATTGTGTAATATCTGTAGGAGAGGAAAAAGTTGGTAAGCCTCGTGTCATGCGAGCAAATTATGACAGATGGTTAAGTGTTAGATTGTTTGTTTATAAACTTGGTCATTAAGATACGGTACAAGGCCGAAAAACCTCCTTAAGCAATAAAAACTGTAAAGAGCTAAACAATTAAAGTACTTCGCTGCATTTCCTTCCTTTATTTAAATCTCCAACATTGTTCACATTAACATCTGTAGATCGAGTTTCGCTCTCGCATACGTTCAAAAAGGCTCTCAGCTATCTTTGCAGTTCAAAGAAGTTAGCAGGTGTCCAGTTAATCAAGCGGGAAATATTTAAAATAAAAGTTAAAAAAATGTTTTTTTTTAAAGGAGCCCATATTTCAGTTTTAAAAATACCTAACCCCTACGTGCGTAGCCGGGAAAACCACTGAGTTCGGATGAAATTTCAGAAGTGTGAATTCCGCGTAGACAACCCTCTGGGACTCATTTGTTGGCTCGGCATTTGGGACATTTTAATGTTTCCTAAATTGTTTCCCAAGGCCGAAGGCGGACTGTTATTTTTCACAGTGTAATAGGTATGGACTCATGATACAAGCAAGATCATCAAGTTGAGGTTTTCTTCCTTCCTTGAAAATTTCAGTTGTAACCACAAAGATTGTACTATATTAGCCAGTGCCTTTTGCATATGGTGCAAAAGATGATTAATGATTCGTGAAAGAAAACTCCCTGCTGTAAGAGTTTGTTCATACGTGATGGTTTGTCGATCCGTTTTTGAAAACAATAAAAACTATTTAGGGATAGAGGCGCTGACTGATGACCAAAGAGGTGTCATTTTGACTTGCTAATCTCTCAGAAGATATCATTATTGCTGGTTTTTATTCGGGGGCTGCTTACTTAATAGACAGGGTATTTGTTTTGAGAAGCGAATCTAACCAGGATTTCACCTTTAAGAGGAACTTTTCAAGTGAGTTTTACGATTTGTGAGAACAATCTCCGATGTCGAGCTTCTTATCTCCATTATATTCACGTATTAAGATTTTCGCCAAGGCAGCCAGTATGTATGTTTGTATAACGCCCGAGCCTCACTCAACCCCGAATTTAACAAAACTCCCATATAGCACTTGTTTGAGTTTTTATAAACTTTTTATTAAAAATCATAAATTTTTTAGCTTTTAGGCGATGCTTAATAATGCTAGTGTTGAATGAAAGCCGTGGGGTTTGTGGCATAGTCTAAATACCTTTGGTATAATCCATGAAATACGATCTAACTTAATTATTTCTGAACCAATGTAATTAGACGATTTGGGGTAGTTAATTTGAAGTAGAAATTAGAGAGACAAACGATAGGCGCAAAGGGGCAGTCGCTTGTGACGTCACGCCATGCAGCCCAAATGCTCTTTCTATGAGAGACAAGTACACAAGCCGTTGTACTTTGACAATGATGAGATGCGATTGTTTAGCGAGGCCGAAATAACGCGACATCTGCTTTCTCCCAGGTTCAACCAGGAGAATCAATGAAGTTAGCGGTGTTATTGCTGTGTGGAATTTTGGTGATCGGTTGGAATTGTGGCTTTGGTAAGTGAAAATGTACGGTGTTCTCGACTCGCTTGTGGCCTCTAGGGTTTGATATGGTCATGTTGTCTGTTGACTGTGTTTACTTATAACATGAAAGATGGTTTTAAGTGACATAACATGTTCGAAGATCGAAATAACTAAACTTTCGCCGATCTGCATCTCTGAACATATCTAAACGTAATTTGGATCTCGTAGAAGCATTTAAAGACAATCTTAAATCCACAGTAGGCACAAAATATTTGTCTGTTCGCTTTTGTACTTATTTGTCACTGTGCTCCAGAATTATATCAATTTGCTGGATATCAACTCTGTGGCCAAGTTACTTGCAATTATGTCAAAGCTGTCTGCTTCCAGAACCTTTGATCGTTAGTTAAAGTTGTATTTTGTGCGGCAAATAAGTTTTCCCTTTGTGCTTGCATGTGTTCTTCATGTGTCTGCCATTAGAAACTGAATACGTCCGTGTTTATGCTGATTATTTTCAATTCACTGACAGCTCTAGCGAGGCAGTATGGAAGAAGAGATTCACGATCCAGAAAGCGGGAAAGAAATTCCAGGTGAGTGTATTCAATGAGCAAGTCTGATCGCTGACGAATACGAAATTTCGCAGAACTTCATTTATCAACAACAATTTTTGGCTTCCGTACAGCGGAGGGAATTTAGTGTTGGTAATTTTAAACCAGACAGTATGGCCTACGAATTGACGGTATCTCGTAAGGAGGCGATCATTATTTTCTGGCGATCAAACCAAACTGCGAGTGCGTTTAAAATAGGGATGGTTAAAGTTAATTTTTTGTTTCAACTTCAACATAATCTTCATCGCATCTGCGTTTCGTGATTTCGCCTTCAAGCGCTTTAACGAATTGTGCTGAGCACGGCTCAAGGGGTTGGCTATCTTTCATGATTCACGTTTGTCAGATGGTTTGACACAGAAGTTCTTTGTTCGAGAAATCGCCGCGGTAGAAGGCATTGTTCGTGCTCATTGTTTCGATAACAGGGTTTCTTTCAAACCCAACCACGTTCATTTTCATTCAAACACCATGCAAATGAGGTCAATGATTTCCCTGGGTGCTGTCTCGGCTTTTGGAAAAGGGCTTGTAGTTGACGAGAGATGTCAAGCCATATTGTTTGCTGTTTATCTGTTTCGATACGGCTAAATTTAGAGGACCACCATCAGTCTCTTTTGTGAAAGCGAAATATCGCATCTTTGATCTCTTTTAGGCTCATTACAAACCTTGCAATTAAATCAAGTGTAGATTTAATATCCAACACAATAGTTAATTGTTCTGTTTAGTTAGTTGCCCTTTGAAATTTTTGTCACATACGGCGGGCGACAAAAGCAAATGAAAGTCATCAACGAGTTAGGTTTACTGAGAGAGCAAAAATGCGATCGATGTATGCTTTCTTTTGGAACTTACAACAGAAATTCGTTAAGTCATTCGTCGGAAAAGAAAGTTAACATAGGTAAAAGTTTTGTTTTTTCGCTGAGGCCCTACCTAGCTTGAGGAAGATTATCCAAGAGTTATCAAAAAGGTCGCTTTCCCATCACGAGTGATATTGGTTTGGTGTCCGCGTTCTTGGAATAAACCGACCATGAAATTTCTCTCTGCCTAGTTAGGTTCATTTCAAGCTTCAACTTAATTGAAGATGGACTTTTCTGTACTGTATGCACTTTTGTCTTTAAGGGGCAATTCACCCGGTTTACAAATTATGTTCAGCATGACAATTTGGTTGTAAAACAACACTTACAATCGAAAGCGAAAACATTGAGGTTTTTCCTTGAAATGTGAATCAGTTAACTCACAAAACTCTGTCGCTGATTTCAGTAAATCCATTGAGGTCTTTTTGAAGTAAAATCACGGTTTTGGAGAAGAAAGGAATTTACCATAAGGTGAAAAACTGCTGTGACAGACGACGTAAATATAACTTAAATGATGGTTTAGGAGTGTTAACATAACAATAGTTTGTTTGTATCCTCGTCGAGTGGAACTTTGAAATAGATTTAACTGGCGGCTCACTTTCTTTCATGCAGCATTTTATAAATACGCTTGGTTGTGTCAGATCTTGGGAATTCCTTAACGTGAAATTCGAAAATTGAACAAAATGTTGGTTCACTAATCAATCAATTGAAGAAAAAAAAGAAAAGAAAATAATGACCTAGTGGTCAAAGTTTAGGTCCGGAACTCGGTTATCGAAATTCTGAAAGGCGAATACGTGTGCGTGTTCTTGTAACTCATTTTCTGTTCAATAAATAACAAAATTTGTTCGGATTTCCCGGTTATGTGATATGTTGCATTATAGATGAACTGCACAAAGCAGAGATATATTGGTCAGTAGAGATAAACTTTGTGTCATTTTTTTCTCCCTTGAAAGATACGACGAAAAGGTAAACTTGAATACTTTATAAAACCACCTCAATTTTTTTTGCTCATAGTGTTTATGGTATGCCTTAAAATGAATTCTTTGACGGATTAAATATTCTTATTGACGTTTAAAAACATTAAAAAAGTGTTTAGTTAGTGAGAGAGGGTTACAAACTTCCTCGTTTTTCAAATGTTTATTTAGTTTTTCGTTTATTTGTGGTAATTTTTGTTTGGGAGTTGACACTTTTCTTGCCAAGTAGTTTTTGTAGCGCGGTGTCCCTCAGCAAGGTCTGCTTCATCGAATATTCTGCTGGTGAACTTTAAAACTTTTCTCTGAAGGTTAATTGACTTAGTGATCGCTATCTTGTGTTCAGATCTTAAGATCTCTTTTAGCGGCGTGTATTCGTGTTTTAAGCAATTAGCGTCGAAGCTTAGAGATTAAAGAAAACGGAATGGTACATGTTCGTTTTATTGTTTTCGGTCGGTTGGAATCGTGCAACCCAAGTCGAATTAAATATCTTTTTCCCGACAGAACGAACAATATTCAATAAAACTTAATCAGTTGTGCAAGTGTTATTGAACTCCTGTTACACTGTTTGCGTTGAAGAGCGTTATTTCACTCAGGTGAAAATCAATTTTGGAATTTCAAACATGGGTAGCTCTAGGAAACCGTGCGGGATATAAAAAATCTGCAAAAAAGAATTTCCAAACAAAAGTTTTTCCTCTGATGTTAAAGGATCGCGCCTTGTGTCTGAATGCTTAGTGTTATTTCTATTTTAACTACTTGTTTTCGTAAAAGCGGAAAAAGCTGCTAGAGCTTTTTCTCTTGTAATACCGTCCGCCATGCTGTTATTATCACTTAGTAATGATCAGAAAGCTTAATTTAAATGTACTTGAGCGGTAAGTTCTGTTGTTCTTTCATTAGGATCATGAACCCTGGTTCAAATAAAACATTTTAGTCATTGAAATGAAGAGAATCGAAATCTCCTTAATGTATATTTTCTAAACATCAATCAGTTCTGATGAAAATGGTGGGACCATTTTTATTCGCGGTTGATTTTTTTCTTCAAGAAGACGGGTCAAGGAGTCAAAATGGATCTTATCTTTCATTGGAGGTTCTCGGACGTGTAGGATTTGATAAATTATTATAATTAAGTCGACCACAAAGTCTGTACCGACCAAGTATCCACCCAGAGGCCTCGTGTACGGTATCCTGTCGGATCCCACTAGAACATGATAAGAATACCGCCTCCGAATAAGGTCACGTACATTCTGTTTCTTTTAACAGGAGAATTTCGGTAGAAAGGTTAGTAATTTGATTATCGTTGAAATGCTGTTGTTTGGTTGTAACTGTTACAACAAACTAAATTTGGAAAGGAAAGGGATTCCTACGGGAGAGCTCATGTTTTCTTAGATTTCAGCTGATAACAACTCACTGTTATTCTACAGTGGGGACTGGACTTCATTTACAGCTAGACAAACTGTCGCAAGATCAATTTAGTTGTCGCAAATTGAGATGAAGATAAGTTTTAGACGGCGGCGAAGATCTTTGAGTTTTTTCTGAGGAGTTAAAATTATTTTTCTCAGCGATAGGAATCACTAACCCTAGTAGTTTTCAAGCGTGTAGTTTCCAAGAACGAAATAAAAATTTCTTAAAAAAACTTTACAAGCACAAAGGTAGTAGGGTCACGTTGTTATCAGAAACGAATTTTTGTTTGTTTTCGAATATAATCATAGATCAGATTGTAGCAATTTTATATGGGAAATCCTTTTACCCTAAAATTCGTGCTGTAGTTGTAAAACTAATATGTTCCCTTTCCGTGAGAGAATTGATGTAGAAAGTTATATTCCGTCAACTGAGAACATGCAGGTAGTCTTGGCTGGAAGCTGGTGAAGTGACTTCTTACTTAAAGTCATTTTAAGTCAGGATTTTAGGCTACAGTTTCGTCTTAAACGATTCAATCTTCGATTCTTTTAACAAATATTTGAAAGAAAAAACGACAGAGAAATAAAATCATAGTTTCGTTCCAATCTTTGACTGTTATTTGCTCATTATGTAGAGGTTTTCTGGCACTTATCACTATGAACAGAATTTCTTCAACAAAAATTCGAGCTATTCTTTGCCAAAAGGAAAAATCCTGACAATTTGTCTGTTTTTGATTTGTGTAAGTAGTTAACTTGATTAAAATACAAGCGTATCTCAAAGCTTTTCAGGTCATGGATTTTAATTAATGACCTTCAAATGTCAGCTATGAGAAACCTAGTTTCGGGTTATGCTATTAAGGTTCTAATTAAGTCCGTATTATTTCTGCAGCAGTGCACTTTCGTGATAAGGTTACTTTTGCTGGAATTTAATTAAGGAAGGCTTTTGACATTGCTGATCCCAATAACATGCCAAAGGCAAGCCTCGTGTGAACTAAGGTTGTCCCATTTAACCCTAAAAATGACCAGCATCCTATTTCACCTTACAGTGATACTGCTGAATCATTCAGGGAGATTATGAGAATAAAGGAAATGATCGTAAACTTAGAAAGCTTTGATTGTAAAACATATTCTCCTTCAGTACTAAAAGAAAAATATTGGAAAGGGTATGGAGAATATGGATACTGATGCTAAGGTGTAAAGGGTTATGGCGCAATTCACCGGCGTGTTTTCTGGGGCTTAATTGCAAGAGTGCGCAACCACGAATCGGAACTTATCAAATCATTATCAAATCCTTTTGAAGAGGTTAGATAACTCGTTACAATTCTTCAACGTATTTCCTTATTGAAATAAGCGGCGCGTTTATGTTTGAATGAATTGTTTAAAAAGTCCTTTCAATTCTGTTAGTAAACTTTGCTAGGCGAACTCGCGCTTTTGTCGCAAAATGATTTGATCAATGTCGACATTTTCGAAGGAAACAATAAACAGAAATGCAGACTCAACAAATGTCTGACGGACTTAAAATCGGGAGCTTAAGAATTTAGAAAAACAAACTGTTTGCCTATTCTTTTTAAACTTCTTTTTTAAAACCTGCCTTGTTTTTGCGGTTATTCAAATTCATCGCCAAACTTCCTTACCAACTTCCGAATTCACCGCAAACAAGAATTGAATTTCTTGAATAATGTGGATTTTGCCTCAGCAACGGAATATTGAAAGCTTCAATTGGACAGCTCAATATGAGGATTTGCGCTTTGTTTTTCGTTTTGTTTTTGTTTGCTTCTTTCTTAAGTTTGTAAAGATAACTTCATCCGAGCCAACAACCACAGAAATCTCTGTATTCATCACATTAAGTTTGGCAGAGTTCTTCTTAGTAGCCTGCAAAGGCATTATTTTCCTAAACTTTTAAATTATTTTTAAACACACTCTCCCTTGTCGTAAAAATAACCAGTTTGTTTATTTTTCTTTTCATTTTAAATTGCGTTGACTAACGATGACTTTAAAACGATTAACGTTTGATGACCTGCTCTGGAACAATTGAAAAACAACGTTCTATCTCAGTTATCGAAATAAAATCTAACGTGTGTAATTACCTTTTATAATGCGAAAGCCTTGTCTTGTGAAAAAGCGGATTTTCTTACTCAAGTCTGTTTTAAGTTAAAGCTAATCTGTCATATTGTCGGGATAAGCATCCGTTAGTACTTTCGTATGTCAAATAGCCGGGCCACTTTGTTGGAATCTCATGAAGCATGGCATTGTGTTTAAGATGACTGAATATCACGTTTCTTTCCGTTGTACACCACACGGAGGGTCGTTATCTCTCTCTGACCACACTTAACCGTTTAGTATACAGCGATTCCTGTCGGAGAGATAAGAACACTTCTCAACTTTCATTTCTAGTGTTTTACGAGTGTTAGGTAGACCACAGTGTTAGAATTGAAGTGAACACTTTTCTTTGTGTTTAGAGAGTTCTGAGACTGTGAATAAAGGCGGAACAGCTTTGTAATATGCTATGTTTTATCTACCAACAAAATAGTTCGCAGTTTTGAATTTGGTGTAAGACAAATCTGTACAGTCGAAGGTTTATTTGTCGCGCCGCAAAGCTTTATCTTGTTAATTGAATTATCTTATTTGACGGAGCGCAGTCTTTCGATTTTCCATCCCATCTCATACTACAGATATTTCTGCTCCCTCCGCCGTTTCCAGAACCGAAAAAATATGTTTTATTCTTGATATTTTGTTAATATTCCTAATGTTGAAACCACAGAAAAAAGTAGAGTAAACAACAACAACAGCAACTACAATAACAATAAAAACAACACCACTAACTGTAGTAAGACTTCATCACGTTACTAAGATAAGTGAAAGAATTGAATAAAATGAACTTTTTGTCAATCTAAGTGCGTGGCTCTGTAGAATTTACAATGTTTGGTTTCGAAGTTTGTTTAAAATAAAGAACCGAGAACTGCCGTGTCAAATATATTGAAACATAGTATATCTTCTTGTTTCATCAAACAATAATTCGTAGTTGACATTTTCTTTTTGGTCACATGTGGTAATATTGTTGGTTTGTAAATTTGCTGTTTCTCGTCCTCAGGCCTGCCGTGTGTGAGCTTTACTCAGGTGGCGACTTTTGTGAGCCGTATCTCAAAGGTCAGAAGATTTACGTTTCAAAGAAGCGTCCCCAATCTCATCAACAGGAAATTATAGAAAACAACTATGGATTGCTGTTTCAATATGTGTCTGAAAGATGTCGAGATTATGTTCTTCCGGCTCTGTGTAATTATGGCTTTCCGCCATGTGATCTGACCCAGTCTGCAGCTAAACCCAGAAAGTTTTGTCAAGATGATTGCCTCGTTTTGAAGAATGACATTTGCAAGAGAGATTTCAAGAACGCCTTAAGATTTCCTCTAGTTTCCAGGCTCTTGCCGGATTGTGACAGTATGCCAGCTAAGGGACAGCCTGAGTACAAGAGTTGTATAAGAGTAGTACCTCAGGGTAAGTAACAGAGTCAAACTACACCTCTACACCGGATCTGTCGTGCGGATCGTTAAACTCTATGGGTTCATCTGCGACCTCACCACGTATTTAATTACTATTTTAAACCCTCCAAGGTAGCTGCTACAATTTAAAGCTCTCTTCACAAGTTTGGAAACCTAGAGCGCTACTCATTTAAGACTTCAATTCCCAAGATCTCAGTAGTAATTCTCCTTACTGTCTGCCATACAGTTCTTGTGATGATAGTTTAGAGAATTTGGTATTGGATCAACTTATAATCCCCTTATTGAAATTTTACTTCATTCTCATCACTTGTCTGCTTGATATTGTATTTACATTGTAAGGAGAAATTCGTCTTGGTCACTCATGGGAGTTTAAGGGTTAAGTGTTCCACCTGAAATTACCGTTCTACTGTTTGAGAATATTTCGTAGACGTTTACGTTACCAAGACTTTACACAGCACGATAAACAGTAGTCACTTGGTGAATGGTTACACGCTCTGTTTTAATCAGTATTCTGGGAAGTTGGAACCAATCTGTAGAGCATGGTGAAGATAAACTGTAGTTTTTAGAATTCCTTCTTGTTAGTTTCCAAGGGTTGCCAGCTCAGAATTTAATGTGAGAGCGACCCTGTACAGACTCAGCAGCTTCATGGTTTTTTTTGGGGGGGGCGGGCGGGGGGGCAACACTTCTGTCGTATTGTCATTTGAAGGCTTGTTAATTTGTTTTGCTATTCTGAATTGATACTCTTTCTTAACCCTTTACACCCGAACATCAGTATGCATATTCTCCATACTGTTCTCTATACATTTCCTAAGTTGCTAAGAAGGAGAATTTGTTTAACGATAAAGAGCTTCTTTAATTGGTGATCATTTCCTTTATTCTCGTGATCCTGATGTGTGACTCAGGGGTAGTATGGTAGGGATAATTAAGATGCGAGTCACTCTTAAGGGTTAAAGGGTTTACCTCAAAAGATGGTTCCCAGTCCCTTCCCTTTTAGCCTTTGTTCTTGCATTGGAACAGTTACACGTCAGAGTTTCGTAAATTCCTGGTTAATTCGATCTGCTTTTGTGTTTGTAGTAGACAAAAGGATTTACTTAAAAAGGTTTTTTCATCTCAGCCAGATTTAACAACGACATTGCTTACTCTGTTGCAGTTCCTAAGTTCAAAGTGCGCCTGGATCACAACATCACTATGTTCCAAAACAAGCCTGTCATTTTTAAATGCCGTTTGAACAGTAAGAAAATACAGGTAAACATCACGTGGTTCAAAGACGAACAGCCTGTCAATCGGATGTTTCCATCTTACAAGGTGACCAGTTACCGCTGGGGATCAAAGCTTAAGATTCGGCGAGCAAAAATGAAGGATGCTGGGATATTTGAATGTCGGGCCAAAGGCCCCGGAGGAATAGTCACTGCGCGGGCGTGGTTGAAAATTAACGGACATCTCAACACTCCTCCTCTTCCAGGTAAATATATTTTTTTTCCTCGTAGTTATGTTCCTATGAGAGACTGATACTGACCTCATGTACGTTACCAGAAAATGGTCGGTAATTCGATCAAACAAATCTCTTACGTTGTGCGCTGAGAATTGATTGTCTCTGTCAAATCAAATTTAGTTCAAATCCCTTGACCGTGAACTCGTCAGCTTGATGCGACAGAAATTGTAGCGAGTTAGGCAAACACTTATGAGGAAATCACTTGGTTCTTTCCACCCCTCAGAAGGAATTCGAATCAGAACAATTGCTAACTCGACGAACAATAAGCGCTGCTCTTAAAGAATTTTTTAGTTTATAAATGCTACTTTTAAAAGAAATTAAGCTTGTTATCTTAGATACTGAAACATAAAATTCTTGTAGCTATGATAGATACATTAGCGTGGTTGTCAAATTTGTTTTCTCCTCTTACTTTCCCAGTTAAAGAGAATAAGCATTCGACCTCCCAGTATGAAGGTAATAACTATATAACCTGGTATCAGAAGTGCTACAGATAACTGTTTTTGTGGGCCTTTATTTCAAGCCTTGTTTATTCCTTAAGATTTCGCGAAAAATCAAAAGATTAATGTGAATGAGGAAAAAAATATCATAAATGTCTCTATTTTCAAACAAAGAGAGTATTTTCTCATAGAAATAGCGAATGCTAGGCCATGTTTTAAAAAGTATTTCAAAAAGTTTAAGAATAAAAAACGCTTCTACTAAACATGAAATAGTACAAATAATCGCTTGTAATAAGGACATCGCCCACAGTGCAAAGGCAATTTTTATGCGCATGTTCTCTCTCTTTCACTCTCTTTCTCTCTCTCTTTGACGTTTTTTCTTTTTTTTCATGTTTATCTGGAAATCACAGCGTAGTTCAAAGAGTTAATATATTTTTGCTTCTCTTTCTCTTATCTCTAACAACAGAAGGCAATGATCCAGACACAACAACACCCAAGTAAGTGATGCAATAGCAACTGTAGCCAACAAAAACAACAACAGAGAAAAAGTAGTGACTTAAAAATACTGAAATTCGGACAAGAGAAGGAAGTGACAAAACAGTTATGCGGAAAAAGAATAAAGAAAAGAAATATCCATTGTTTTATCCAGTTAGAACTTGGAACCTTTTTTCAATCGTCGTGTGATCTTCCTTAACTATACATCATGTTGTTAAGCAACATCTAAGAAGAAAACCACAGGCTCAATTGTTCATGGCAGACTATTGTTACTTAAAGTCAACGGAAAGTCGTAAAAAGATTGACTCAGTGTTGCTTGTTGTGTTTTAGGTCGCTTCCTCCATTCCAGGGCATGTGTGAGAAATACCGCGGCAAGGCCTGTGCACAGTTTATTGGTAATCAAAGTATCTGGGTTGAATATCCATCAGGTTACCAGCAACGCGTTGAAGATCAGTTGTCAAGAGCTCTGAGACTTATACAAGCAACTAATCAGATGTCTGATAGGTATGCAGAAAAAATTTATTGCAAGAAAAGTCGTCCTGAATAAGAGCCTTTGTTAGAATTTTTTTCTCAAACTATTTTAAGGCCTCCAAAGACGTCTTAACCTTTTACACCCCAATATCAGTATGCATATTCTCCACACCGTTCTCTTTACATTTCCTGAGGTGCTGACAGGAGAATTTTTTTAACAATCAGGAGCTTCTTCAGTTGGTGATCATTGCCTTTATTCTCCTGACCTTACAGTGTGATGTAGGGGTGATATCGTAAAAAGAAATTAGATGCTTGTCATTCTTAAGGATCAAAGAGCCAACATATTATTCTTATTTTAACAGGTGCAGTGAATATGGCATTCCTGCGTTATGTTTTCACGGCTTCCCAACTTGCGATACGTTAACTCAGAACTTCAAACATCGGTTGTGCCGCGAAGACTGCTTTGCTTTGTTTAAGGACATCTGTTTAACGGAACTTCAGTTCGCGATGAGTATTTCTCAGCTCAGAGTTCTGCTTCCAAACTGTTCCGCTCTTCCAAAGCGTGATGACAAAGATTATTCCTATTGCACTTCGCTTAATATTCCAGGTTAGTGCAGCGCGATTCTCCATGTATTGTTTCGGGACTGCTCGGAACCGCAAAAATCTTTCGATTCCTCTCGTTTAACGCTAAACGGTAATCTAAAAGCATTATCGCAAACAGCCGGGCATAAACATCATCAGATGAAAAGCGTGAGCTCCGCTACGTTCTTACAAATGGTTTGGCATCAAGTTGTGTTATTTCCATCCATTAGAAATGTTGAGAGGAAAACTAGCTAAGGACAACATTTGTTTACTTTGGAGGCGCTTTTTGGTTTGAAATATTAACACTAAATGCAAAAGTAATCCCACATTTCGTTCTACTTCTGTCTTCAATTATTGCCTCATAACTTTAACGCGTTTTTTCCTTTTTGTTTCACTCAGGTTTGGCTCATAATTCACCAACCAGTCCTCCTCCCTTTATTCAAGGTTCGTAATACGTTGCATTGACAACCAGTGCACCGCTCAATCTGTGCGTTTTGATTCTCTGAGCGCTGATTCAATCTCTATCTTACCACAACACATCTCTCTCTGTCACGTACTCTTTCTGTAGAAGCGATCACGATCTTATAAGAAAGTTTACAATTGATAACGTTTCTTGATGGTACATGGTTGGTAAAGCTTTTCTCCACAGTCCATCTGCTTTCGCTTTTTATATCATATTTATCCTTAAGGGTGATAAGGATAGAGAACAGTATGGAGAATATGCATACTGATGTTAAGATGTAAAAGGAAGTGACTGTTAATATTTCAGACGATTCTTGCTACAATGGTACTGGTGAAACATACTCAGGCACAAGGAACGTCACGAAGTCCGGGCGCCCCTGCCGCGTGTGGCGTCCTTTGGACCCCTCAAGTCATAACTACTGCCGCAACCCTGGAGGACTTGAAGCACAACCATGGTGTCATGTTGGACCGGAATACGATGTGGAATATTGTGACATCAAAAAGTGCTCTTCGTTGAGTAAGTTATTACCTCCCTTTTGCCCTCACGTTACAGTGTCACTCTGGACAAGTTTTGAGTTGCCAGCAGGCGGTACGAAAGTGAGGTGAAGTTGATTATAACTGAAGGATTGATGTCAGTATCAGAGCAACTGCACACCTTCCCCTCCCTTAACCCAACATTGTCCCTAACTTGTTATCATTTGACTGTTGCTGAGTTAGGACTCAGATAGGTACGAAGTTGCTCGATTTTTGCGCGTCTCTGATTATGATCCTGTTCTATTTAGACGCTGCTGTGGAGACAACCCCTAAACATGGCCATAGAGGGGCTGGCTCGGTCGCTCGCACCAATTACGTCATTTCCGCCATTATGGCCGTTTTGATTGTGGCATTCCTTACAATCATTGTGTACCTAAAAATACAGCAGCGTAAGACTGCACTTGCAGATAGCGACCATGCCTCCTCTGGCTCCATCTCTAAGAGTACCCAGAGTACATTGCAGCAGCAGAATTTTGATCTGAAGCAAAGCATCAGTGAGATCAAGTCATGTGTCTTCCATAAGGTTAGTCAACAATTTCCACGTTTTGAAAGTTCTCCGCGTTTCTGATCATATTTCGTGTTGTTTTCGCGTTTTTCGTATTCTTTGTGCTCTTTGTCATTTGTAGAGATCCCAATCATTCTAAGATCTGTTTAGAATTTTTCCTCACCTGTTTCACTAAGAGTGTTTCGAAATTTTTAGGGGAGGTTTTATGCTCATACTTTTTGGGGGCTGAGGGGTTGAAACTTGTGCAAACCCAAACAAATACCTTTCATATGTAGAATGACAACAACTTTTTCGCTAAATGTGGTATCAATGTTTGAAATTTTCGTTCTAAATAATGGGAACCATTTTTTGATTTTCTATTTTAGCAAGATCAAAAGTTACACAATGGCAAGGTGAATTTTCTTGAGGGTCTGGGTGAGGGTATGTTTGTCAAGGTGTGCAGGGGATTGCTGATAACAGATGACACGGACGACACCGGTGTAGAAATTGCCATCAAGCGGCTCAAAGCCGACGTACCAGAAGCTGCCATAGAGAACTTTAAGAAGGACACGAACATCCTGGCCAATCTTCAGGACATAAACATTCTCTGTATGTTTGGATTATCTAAAGACGAAGATCCACACTTCATGATGTTCGAGTATTTTGGTGACATAGATCTGTATCGATTCTTAGTGGACAACGCATCCAAGTTATCGGGGTTGATACCATCTGATATCTCTGAGTACGATCTGTTACTGGACTTTTCGTTGCAAATCGCGTCTGGTATGGACTTCCTCGTCGAGAATCATTTCGTTCACCGAGATCTTGCTGCCAGGAACTGTTACGTCACCGCAGACAACATAATAAAAATCTCAAACCTTGGAATCGGCAGCCACAAGTACCCCTCGGATTACTCTTGGGTGCACAGTAGCGCTTTACTTCCGGTACGGTGGATGGCACCGGAAGCGCTCAACACGTTGAAGTTTAATCATATGACGGACGTTTGGTCTTACGGGGTTTTATTGTGGGAAGTATATACCTTCGGATGCCAGCCGTTCACCGGTTTTACTAATCAAGAGGCTATTGAGCGAATACGGAATCTGGAATTACTCTCTTGCCCAGACCACTGCCCTGCCCGAATGTTCGGGCTGATGCGGGAGTGTTGGGACGAAAACCCATCAGATAGATCCCCCTTTTCCGAGATTTGTTCCCGTCTCCGAGAGTGGGCTGGTGATTCGATTGCAGAAAGCCGTTAGTCCCAGGAACGCGCATTATTTCCCATATTACAGCGAAGACAGGTTGGTCAAAAACTAGCCATCTGCCGTCCAACAAATCGCTGGTAGAATGTCGGCATGGAGACCCTGGAGTACTGGCTCAAAAAAAAAGGGTGAAGTTATGTGATGATTTCCTTTTTCTGCAGTGAGTAAGTTGAATCACTGACTACAAAAGACGCAAATGTACCCAACAGTTACTTTAACTGATGAAAGTAGAGCAATTTGCTTTTCAGCGTAATTATATATCCTTCAGTAAGGAGAGAATTATTGACTTCAAACGTTTAGTTTACATGGAATTCATTTAGGATCAATGAAAATATTATAAGTCTTATTTGCAGTTACCGTTATTTCGGTTGTCACGCAATCCTCACTTTCCTAGACGGATTGCGTGACAACCCAACAGCCATCCCAAGTTTGTGAATAACTTCATCTCAGGGGAAAAAGCCTTATTCGCGCTTATTTTCCAAGGTATATTATTTATGCTATTATAAACTTATGTCCACCCTTGGCTGAGGGGGCATTTTATTTTAACTTAAGAGTACCGAAGTAGACAAAATTCACCTTATTTGGAAACGTTTTGAGCTGGAGACAGAGTGTACATAATTAAGAGGAACATAACCGTTATGACATTAGATGTGTAGTGTGTGAGTTCTGATCTTTTATACGTCAAATGAGTAACATGAATCTCTCGAGACATCTTTTTCCACAAAAGAGTTCACTGCAACAATGAATGAATTTTCAAAAATCGCTGTCGTTGTTGTTTTCTCCTTTTTTTTTTAATCAGTTTTATCTGTTACTACGGACAATGAAAAACTACATTTCTTACACTACGCGTCAATAACTGAAAAATGACAAGCAGAACCAAGGTGTTACGAAAATGTTTTTTTTTCTATGACTAATGGTATTATTAATACCGACCTAACGGATGATAATATAATTCGATTTATGACTCATTTGGCCTATAAATTATTTGATTTTGTAGCTTGATCGCTTATAAGCTCTGTGATTATAAAACATGTTAAAATCTTAGATCAACGAATCAGGATAAATGTATAGCGAATCCGTGATTTATGAACACGAATGTAAGATCAATTAAGTACTTTAAAAGGTTACCGACATTTTTGAAGTATTACTATTACTGTATCATATTTTGTTGTATTTAATTCCAAGAAAAGTTTACTTTTTCAGAATTTTCAGTAACTGGTGGCTTTTAGGCGTTTCTTGTTTTACGCGTTCAGAATTTTCATCCGTTTCTTGCTGATAGTCTAGCGTGTGGAAATGAAATATAAGAGCGCATTTCTAAAAGCAAAATTAATTTTAGCCCCTAAATATGCTAGTTCATCCTGAGCATTTTTCCAATGATCGCCATGAGACAATTGGTGTGATCATATATGAACAGAACAGTTATGATGGCTGTACGGGTGGTGTAATGGTTCTCTCGTGACTTGGACGAGTGGCTCTTTGGCTGGTACAGAGAGTCACGCCACGAAAAGAGAAACCAGCTGAGTAAAAATTTTGACGAAGAATGAAACAACTGTCGACGTTCTTGCTAATTCTTCAACCCTTTATACCTTGACATCAGTCTCCATATTCTCTATATATCAGTATCGATATTCTCCATACAATTCTTTTTGTACTAGTGAGGAGAATTAGTATTACAAATCTTCTCAGGTTGATGATCATTTCCTTTATTCTCAATCATCTCAATGAATGATTCAGCCTTTCTACAGTAAGGGGAAATAAGATGCTGGTCTCAGGGTTTATAGAGTTCATGAAACCTCTACATTTGTAGAACTGTGCGCATGCCGAGCAGGATGTATATCTGTTTTCATACATATTATAAATAAAGCAATTAAAACACAGGCAGTTTTTTCAAAACTTGGAATGAGGAAAATTGAGACACGAGTTAAATCTGCGCTTGCTCGCACACATTCGTGCCTAAAAGTAGAGAGGTGAAAATCACAAAGGAAGCAACCAGAAGTAATTGCAATCACCAATTCAAGTTTCCACAGATGGGTTAATTAGCGCCTTCCACTGTACCCTCCTCCGGCCTCCTGGATCTGTAAATCACCCTTTCCTCCCTGACACTTTTCACAGCCTGTGTGCATGTACTAGCGCACCGTACCCCTACCCCCCCCCCCCTTTTTATCCCTTTTTATTTACTTCTGGCATGCTCTCGCGTGCGGACCAGTTCGAAGATCTTAAAGTCGCTCGAAACTGTTTCCGCAAGAAGTTCTCCAGGCCCAGCAGTAATAAACCTTACAGTCCAACGTCTTGACACTTTAAATCCTAGGATCTCGGCATTAATGATTCTCCTTAATGACTTCCATACAATTCTTACTATGTTAGTTCCGAGAATTTGGTATGGGATCAGCTAATAATCCCGTAATTAATATTTTTCTTAGTTCTCATTACTTGTCTGCTTGATATTGTACTGATGTTGAAAGGAAAAATTCTGTCATGGTCACTCATGGTATTGTAAGGCTTAACAACATATCAGTGCGAAGTGATGTACTGTACCGTGGCTATGGTTCTTAAGAGTACTCAATTAAAACTGATCAGCGAATTCCATATTCTGATCTTTTGCGGAAGTCGTTGTTGCGGCTCATAAATAGCGAGCACGCAAATCCTAGCCTATTCACCAATGCTTGTGATTTATTACCAGCACAAGATGAGGAAGAGTGACAGTACATTACTCCGGCCGAGTAAGTATTTGACTCATTGGTAAAAAATTACAGTTTCAGAAAAAATCCTTTATTTTAATTTCAACACATTGTTTCAACCGAAACTGTACCAACCTCTCTAGCGAGCAGACAATGGTGGGATCGTGATAAATTGAGTTAGAGACTCCGCTGCGATTTCCATGACAAACAAGGATAATCGATCCGTCACCTTTTTCCAGGTCGTCACTCAAAGCATGGTTGTTAATCACGAAATTCCAGGAGTCCCAACCCCCCTCCCCCCCGCCTCTCCCATCAGAGGTCCCACTAGACCGGTGGTTCTTTTTTTACTACTTATCAGAAACCAGGAGCCCATTAAGTAATAGGCTCCTATCAGAAACCCAACCAGAAATATTCAAAATTTACTAATCTTGAATTTTTTCTTTGCATGTTCAGACTTTGGTGTAAAAAACGGAAAGAAAAAAAAAGGTAAAAATTTTGTGTTTTCTGTATCAAAGTTTGGACCCCACCACCCACGCCCTTATCAAAAATTTTCCAGACCTGCCAAGGACGTTTTGACGTTTCGAGGCCAAGCCTTTGAAAACACCTCATCCTTTCATCTGATTTAAAAGCCTCGCTAAATATTCTTACCCTGATTTTAGTAAAGACGAAAATTGAAAAAAAAAAAACTACAAAAGCAGCAAACTGAACAAAACCAAACAATTTGCCTTGAGGTGTTCTTTTGAGAAGATCGAGAAGGCGTGGAAGACAAGTGAATGTTATGTAGCAACACAACCTTAATGCAATTTTAATGGAAAATTTACATTTTTTTAATAATGAAAAGTGTCGGTCCATTTAATTTGGGAAAAAAACAAGTTACATCCATATGTCACTGTCAAACTGATAATTATCTACCATTATGCGTGTTTTTAATTTTAGTCCTCAGAGTTATGCAGAAGTCACTCGATATAAGGAAGTATTAATTTCTCGGCCTACTCTGTGGATATTCTGGACTAAGATGCCAAACATAGCTTGCAGGCCCTTTCGATCATGCTAATTTCTAATCTGAAGAAAACTTGAGACCCTGATCGCAAGTTTGCGTCGCCAAAAGTCTCAACAACTTTGCCGTGTTCTACGCAATAATAAAAGGTTATTACTGTAAAGATTGCTTTCACATTCATTGCAATGATAATAGTTACAAACGTAACACTCTTTTTTCGAAACTACGGAAATAAATGTATTTGTTCCATTTACAGTTATCAAAATGTGGTTTACATCCATGCAACTTCGCCAAAAAGTGAATATCAAGGAAGAAAATGCCCATTTGCTCTCAGGTTTTCTCAGAACATGGCAAACGAGATATCTATTTCTTTTCCTTCCTCTCATTTTTTACACACCATTTTAGACTTTCAATACAGCCCTTTCATGTTGGAAAAGTAGCTGTTAATCGTACTTTTGCTGTAAAACTTATCCCACACGAGTTTTATGCTCTTGATCAGTGAAATTTTAACCCTAAAAAAAAGATTTTTTTTTTGAAGCCACTCAAAGGTATCCTCTCCATCAGTAAACATGATGCACGTTCCATTCATTCATCATTGTCAAATTTACGGCATGCTTTATAAGTCATCATGACCAAAATATCATGGGTAGATAAATGCCATAAAGAACAGGCACCAGGTAAATATTTGAAAAAGTCAGGAAAATGGTATCGTTGGTCAATGACAAACATGGTATCCAAGAATCAAAGCTTCTGAGTTGTTATGCCCGGGGAAATAACAACTTGTCACGTCAAAAAATAAGAATGAATTCTAAATGAGTAAATTATTTCATGCAAAGCGTTTAAAAAACCCAAGAGTTGCGATTCAATTTTTTTCAGTATTCAGTTTATGAAAACCAGGAACACTTGTGCTCAAGCATAATTTTGATTTTGAACAGAAAATTAACGAAAAAAACCGTTTGATTTCAGGCTGATACTCCATTATCTAGTGAGGTGTGACTAGATATTTGTTGGGAAAGTTAATCCTTTAACTCCCAGAATTGACTAACATGTAACTTCTCCTTATAATTTCCACACTATTTCCTGCAAACGGTTTATGAGAATACTCAAAATTATCAGGTAGAAGTTGTTATCTTGATCTTTTACCAAATTCTCGCAACTAATTTTCAAGCAATTGTGTGGTAGAAAGAGAGGAGAATTAACAATCAGATCTTGGGAGTTAAGGGGTTAACTTAAATTAATTAACATGCGGTCAGAAAATATCTGCTGGGTCATCCGGTCATTCAGTTTAAAACATATTGATTTCCTGACCAAGATCCCACCAAATTAAATAAATCTGGTAAATGTTAGGACTTAAACCTAATTAGATTAAAGAGAAACGAACATTTTTTTCCTCATTTGTCCCAGCCGGATTTGACCTTAAGGCCCAGTAAATAAGTAACTTCCCTAACACCGAAGCATTTGGTTCCAAAATTTCAGAATATTG